TACTTCTGACTTGTTTGAGTGTTTTTGATTACCTGGACCAATTTTTTTTTATATTACTGTTTTCAGTTTGATGTTTATGCACAAATAGCTGAACAAAGAGCTACATGGTTATGACAATTTACCCTTTCCTTTTTGAGTTAATATTTATTTGTTTTCTTTTTATTTTTATGAATGTTTACATTTTTTTGTTTTATAAGTGCTTGCTTTGGAAGTGTTTCTGTTAAATAAAATTTGAGTGCTGCATTTGAGAATGAGTCAAACTGTTTACCTTATTCCAACAGCTAGCCGTTGTTTAGGTTCAATAGCTGCTCTGAAGGATGTAGACCGTCTTCTCAACTCTGGTCCAACAAGGGACAGAAGCTCATCCATCTGCTCTGCAGACATGCGGAAGTACTGGTGGTGCCTCTGGCTGTCCAGTCGCAGCTCTGCAACAAGATGGTAGAAGTCCCCTTGGCTTCTTCTTTGTTAGTTCAGTGGGTGCACCCAGAATCTGCTCCTTCTTCTCTGATTAACCAAATCCAGTAGCAAAAGGAGAGCTATAGTTCTTCTTCGGCTAACATGTGCTTCTGCAACAACAATTATGCACATTAGACTACAAAAACAAGCTCCAATCTAGGTCAATTACATATAAAAGTTTTCTTTTAACAACTATCAATGGCAGTTGAACTTTAAATGCACAAAAATAAGCCATAAATACAGTTTCTACTACCAAAGTACTCACCCATTGTTGATCCAAACACTTGCTGATATCTTAACTCAAATGATAGGCAGATTAACAGTTCTTCTCAAAGCTTCTTCCACACAACTATTTGTTTGGATCTAACTTCCGCATTTATTTCGGACTGTATCGTGAGTACATGAAAATCCTGCGCATGCCTGTTTGCGCACCTCAGGTCTCCGCACCGGGGCGGAGCCGTTGTAGAGCGGGTATAGTATAATTTGAGTTAGAAAGCGAGCGGCAGCGGAAAGCGGGGGCAGAGCGGAGCGGAGATAGTGGAATTTTGGGGTTACACACCCACACATGAGAGACATCAAATCGATCGGCTTGGCCTAAGGAATCCATCCATCCACATATAAATCCATACACGCTTCCATCCATCCATCCGTCCGTCCATCCATCGAACATCAATCCAACAATCCATCCGTCATTTCATTCATCCAACCATTCATCCATCCCATGTCAAGTCTGAACATATGTTAATCTATCAGTTTCAGATATCAGCAAATGTTTCTAAATTCACAGTTCAGCCAATTGTAAAAATGTACCCGTTAAACTATTCTCATTCAAATGCCAGCTGTTTAACATTTTAACTTTTGAGTTTTTAATCAATGTTCAAAGATTAAAGTTTTCTGCTGTTAGCATTTTTTGTCCATTCTTCACCTATATTCTGAGCTTTATTACACTTGTTGGTGATTTTTGATTCTAAATCTTTAAATACGTTCAGCTCATTTGGACAGTTTAGCTTAGTTTCAGCTTCACTTCAGCTATTCAGCAGCTTCAGCAATCAGTTTCTGAATTCAGCATATGATGGTAATTTCACAGTTCAGCTAAATGCAAAGATTAAACTGTTAAACTAGTCCTACTGAAATTACAGGTGTTTAGACATTTTAGCTGTCCAGTTTTTTAAACAATGTTCACAGATTTCAGTTTTCTGCAGTTTACCATTAGTTTTCTTAATTCTTCACTTACTTTTTATGCATTATTAGCTTGTTGGCGCTTTTTGCTTTCACATCTTTCACTACAGCTCTACATCTTTCAGCTCATTTGCCAGTTTAGCTTAGTTTCAGCTTCAGCTATTCAACAACTTCAGCAATCAGTTACCAAATTTAGTAGGGATGCACCGATGGATCGGCATTTGATCCCAATCAGCCGATAGCGCCCCTATCGGTTTTGATCGGAGTTTTCAAAATAGATCAAAGCAGACCGATCAAGTAGTGTTGTCACGGTAACCGGTGTAGCGGTAAACCCCAGTAAAAAAAAAGTTGACAATAACAACAACTGTCTTGTTTTTAAAAAAAAACTATATTATCTCGGTGGATTACCGTGGCTGCGGTGTAGGCGCGGTGACCCTTACCAGCCACCGTATCATCTGCTGAAGTTGCTGGCGGCACATGTGCACTTTGTTGTTTACAACCAAAACTTTCTTGAAGCTAAAGCTGAAATAACGGCCAAAGGAGGAGACGGCAGTGCTCAGGAGGACATTTTTTTATCCCTCAAAGAAGACAAAGTGGGAAGTACGGGCATCTTTTGGATATTTGAAGAATGCCGAGGGACAGTTGATAGAAGACGGCTATCCTGTTTGCAGCACGTGCAGAAAAAGTGTCTGTGAAAGGCAGCAACGCTTCAAATCTCATGACACATCTGCGTGACCATCACCCACAACTCTACAGTCAACGCAAGGCAAGCTAACGTTAGCGTTTTAGCTAAAATGCGTGATCCGAGGATTTGGGTTGAGGGAGAATGCAACGAGTCGCTATATAAAGCAGCCGCAGCGCCGCTACCTGCATATAAACCGTGTCGCGGACACCGCCATGTTGAAATGACGCTATGCATTACGGGGCTCCCAGGGGCAGATAAGAGTTGGTCTCTCTCCGAGAATAATTATGAATTTAACTATGATTACTGCCTGATGACATTTTCCCACATCTGCAAAGCTCACTGGAAGGACACAAACCGAGGACAATATTTTCCTGATATAGGGTTTATTACTCAAGTTAGGGTAAAAAAGTATCTGATTAGAAAGCTACTTGAGTACTGAGTATCATCTGATCTAATATTTTTAAAATGATTACATCAAACAGACAAAAAATAAGAAGTTATGGGCAAATATTGGTATTTTAAAGACCAAAAGGAAAAAACGTAAACAAATAAACAACATAATTACAAAATAACACATTTTAGGCAAAATTTAGACACAAACTGAAATATTTGCTGACATACAGGGTTTATTTAGTTGTGTGAAAATGTAACAAGTTTAAAAAAAAATACCGCGATAATACCGAAACCGTGGTAATTTTGGTCACAATAACCGTGAGGTTAAATTTTCACACCGTGACAACCCTAATACAGACCATTTTAGATTAGGTTACATTTCCTTTATTCCCAGATTATGTAGTTTGTAGCACTCATTATAATGTTGTAGAAAATTTCTGGCCAATCCACGTGATCGGTATCGGTGATCGGCTGCATAAAACCTGATCGGTGCATCCCTAAAATTTAGCATAAGCTGCTAATTTCACAGTTCAGCTAAATGTAAAGACTAAACTGTTAAACTTGTCCAACTGAAATAACAAGTGTTTAGACATTTTAGTTGCCCAGATTTTTATACAATGTTGACAGATTTCAGTTTTTTGCTATTTAGGATTATTTTTCTCCATTCTTCACTTACTTTTTGCGCTTTATTTGCTTGTTAGTGATTTTTGCTTCTACGTCTTTGAACACATTCAGCTAATTTTGACAGTTTTGCTTACTTTCAGCTTCAGTTCAGCCATTAAGCTGATTCAGCTAACAGTTTAAGCTATCCAGCATTCAAACATCATTTCTGCAAGAAATGCAATTTATCTAGTTTATTTACTGTAAATCCTCTAATACAGGCCCGGGCCTGTATTAGAGGATTTATGGTATGTTACACTACCACTTGCCATATTTGGATTGGTACAGATGTCAGTCAATGGGGCAGTCTGCCATTACGTCGCAGAAAAACGACATAAAACATAAAAAAATAAAAATTCAAATTTAACAATACATCGTTTTTGTGAATAAACGCGCTGTGACTGGCAAAAATCCTGGTCGTGCTTGCGACGGTTACATGAGTTTCCACAGTGTAGTGGTTATCATGCTTGACTAACCCGCGAATGACTGGCGGGGACACTCACCACTATACTGACGAGTAATGACATAGCTACACATTTCCATTATCATACTAATGTTTACCCCTTTGTGTGAGAGGATGAATTGAAGGTGTGTATTTAGATTGAAGCACAAATGAACAAAACCTCAAGATTTTATTAAAGACGTGGTAATGCCCCCCTCAGAGTCTCACTCCACCCACGTATCAATTTTAAAAAATGCAACATTAGTAGGCGTTGCCTGGAGGACCGAGAGGGCGGAGCCGCGACAGTGACTAAGACGATGGCTAACTAGACGATGCTAGCTCACTCTGAGCAGTTATTAGAAGTGGAGGACGTTTCTTCCCCTCCTTACCCAGACACTCGAGAAGAAAGGGACCAAGTCTATTTGGAGGAGACAAGCGGACCTGAGCCTTATTGTTTTGAGCTTGTGAGTTGCCTGAAACTAGCGAAACCACCCAACAGAACCAGCTCTGAATGATAAGTAGCCGTTAGCCATAGCATCAGATTAGCTGCAGGGTTCTGCTCCACGGCCCTAGAGAGCTAGTATTCAGCATGTTTTAGAGGTTTATCTGCTTCAACACACCTGGTTTTAATCAGCAACAAATATCTGAGTTGCTGAACAGCTAATCTAACCTGTTAAAGCAGGAAAACCACTGAAACGTGCTGGATAGCAGCTCTCCAGGAGCCCCGGGCTCAAGTTACAGTCTGCTGCATAAAGTTATGAAAATACCCCATGAGAAAATTATTCTGTAATGTGTTCAGCCCACTAAAACTGCCCTGATTTCATTATTTACTGATACCAGCGGCTCTCTTGGTTCTAGGTCCTCAGGTGTCTGCAGCTGGTCTCTGCTGGTGTCGTCAGGATCAGGAGCTTCCGGAAGAATGTGCCTTTCAATGACTCTTCCCCCCTTACTTGTTATGTTAATTAAATAAATCTCAATTTATATATTTCCTGTTTTTGTTCATGTCCATAAATACTTAAACATGCTTGAAATTAAAACGAGCTTTTAACAGTGATGTGCTAGTTTAATTCATCACAATAGAGCTAGTTAAACATGCAACAATGTGATAATTCAATTAATGTAATTTATAAATATCCATTAAAATATCAAAACTGGAATCAAAATGAGATATTTGGCAGCACAAAAAAACTTGTCAAACACAATATTTATTATAATAATTGTAGGCAGACAGGAGACAGAGCTGATGGAGGTTCTCAGTCATCGAAGGATGGCTGAAGGCTTTCCAGGAACAGGAGATGTGGTGTTGTCTCTTCTCTCTCTATTCTGCCAGATGAGCTGATAGGTTACAGGTGTGTGAGGACATCCTCATGCTGTCACAACCAGATGACAGGAGTTATCAGGTGATCAGCCAGGCTAATGATGAGATGCAGAAAGAAAACAAATCCAGGACAGTACAGTAATAACAATAATATGTGGTGTTGCTCACCTTATGTGCTCTTATAGAGTATTAACGTGTGCCTGCCTCATGGTGTAGAGTCCATACAATCAGTGGGAGGTTATCATCTGGTGTAAAAGAAGGCGTTGATCAGAAATCACGTTTTATTCCACGAAAATCAGCCAAATCCACATTAATCTGGGTGCTAACTTTACTAGCATACTGTGCTAGCGATAGCAAGCCGGATGCTAACGCTTTAGTGCTGCTAATGCCCGTAAATCTAAAGTAAAGTTTGTCGACATTTTAGAGTGATATGAAGCTTACCGATCTGCTGCTGTGTCCCGTCGCTGCCAAATTCAGATGGAAATGACTCCTTTTAGATAGATGAAGCCCTCAGTACTTAGCCACTAGCCTGGAGACACGAACGAACGAACCACGCGCGCGCGCGCGCGCGCACGCACACACACACACACACACACACACACACACACACACACACACACACACACACACACACACACACACTACTTTTTCTTCTGTGTTTTTTAGCAGTAGTGTCATCAGCTTCTGGGTTTAAATACTGCCACACCACCCTTCCTTAAAACGAGGAACAGTTTTGAGCTGTGTGTGGCTAAAATAACCAGACATTCTGCATTTTTCCAATAGGACTACAAAAAATCTTAGCGAGAAGAAAAAATGGCGGATTGGCTCTGTGTTTAGCCGAGGGCCATTACCATATTTGGTAGTTATCCTGACGAAATAAATTACTGATGTAATAGATAATGTGAAAAACTGAACGGGTGGACAAATATGCCCAAAACTTAATTATTAAATATCTAAATAGCAACTCCAGTGAATAATATAACCCTTTTTGCTCACTTAGACACTTAAAATGTGAAACACACTGTGTTAATGGATTAAAAAAAGTGGGTTTTTCATGTTATGTCTCCTTTAAACACTCATTTATACAGTTCATCAGCAAAAAAAAGTTAATTTAGACGTTACTTGCTCTTTAAGTGTTCTCTAAGAATGACTAACATAATAACACTTGCGGTGATCATTACTAAAAATAATTACAAACGCACATCAGACGCAAGAGTTTCCGTAGTGTAGTGGTTATCACGTTCGCCTAACACGCGAAAGGTCCCCGGTTCGAAACCGGGCGGAAACATTTACTTTATTTCTAACCTTGCCTAAACTAGTTAAACACGGACTCTGACCTTGGTTCTGGAGGGTTAATAGCTAGTATGTTTAAGTTGTTTCTCTGTTCCAACACACCTGATTTAATAGTTAAATCACTTGCTCAGCTCTGCAGTAGCATCATTATTAGCCACTGTTTAAATCTGTTGCCTATTTTTTCCAACCTGTTGTACCAGAGCAAAGTGTGCTGTTTAACATCATCAGTAGTATCGTCTCTCCTGCCTCTCCTACAGCCTCCATCCACTCTGATGCAAACTGTGAAAATCTTCTGTCTTTCTTTGTGGATAAAGTTAATAAGGTTGGATCTAGCATCTCTACTCCAGCCTTATCTCTATCTTTCCCGAATCCAACCCAACCAGCCCTCCTTAATAGTTTTGCTCCTGGTTTTCAAGAGCACCTGGCTGCAGACCTCCACTGTCAGGATGACCACCACTGTCAGGATGACCACCACTGTCAGGACGGGAAATGCACAGGATACATTACAAAATAAAACGGCAAACATACTTAAGCTTGTAATCGATAGATTTTACCTAATATTTTATATTGAAACCTATCAATTATTTCTCTATTGTTCATATGTAGTTGTCATATACTTACAACCGTAAGTATGTTAAATGACAACTACATATGAACAATAGAGAAATAATTGATAGATTTTACGTAATATTTTATATTGAAACCTATCAATTACAAGCGTAAGTATGTTTGCCATTTTCCAAAAGTATGTTTGCCGTTTTATTTTGTAATGTATCCCGTGCATTTCCCGTCCTGACAGTGGAGCGTCCACTGGAAGCAGCCTGACAGTGGAGGTCTGCAGCCAGGTGCCTCTCATTGCACCAGACATCTTACCCCCTTCTGTTTGAAAATGCTCTTCAGTCCATCAGCGTTGTTACGCTTCAGTACCCCAGTACTGAAATAACATGCTATGTTAGCATGCATCAAGCTTAAAAAAAGGCAAAATAAAAAGGCAGATGAAAACATGTTTCCGCCCGGTTTCGAACCGGGGACCTTTCGCGTGTGAGGCGAACGTGATAACCACTACACTACGGAAACAGATAGGAATATGTGTCCCCATGTTGGCCTAAAAGCGATCAGTGAGCACCATCGACATTACTATAGCTTTTAATACACTTAATAATAATAATAATAATAATAATAATAATAATAATAATACATTTTATTTAAAAGCTTATTTCAGAACACCCAAGGTCACTTGACAGACAATACTTAATAAAATACAATAAAACAATAATAAAACCCAAACAAGAAAAAAAGAAAGAGAGAAACAGTTCAATAAAATCAGAGGTTGTAGGCAAATTTAAACATGTGTTTTGAGTTTTGTTTTGAGAAGGGTAAAACTGTCGATGTTCCTGATGTCTGGGGGAAGTGAGTTCCAGAGACGGGGAGCAGAGCGGCTGAAAGCTCTGCTCCCCATGGTAGCGAGACGGGCAGAAGGAACCGCAAGATGGGTGGAAGAAGAAGATCTGAGAGAATGGGATGGGGTGTGAATACTTATAAGGTCTGAGATATATGGAGGAGAGAGGTTATGGATTGCTTTGAAGGCATGGAGGAGAATTTTGAAGACTTAAACAGAAGAGTGAGAAAAAAATTCACCCCCCTCAGAGTTGTCATGAGTGTAAACTAGATAATTTAAACAAAAAACATGTTCTGGTACCAGGCTGTAAACATGTTTATTTCTGCTGTGAAATTGGTATTTTTAACATGGGAGTCAATGAGGATTTGCTCGCTTCTGACACCAGCCCCCAGCGGTTGAGGGTGGAACTGCAATTTTTGGTACTTCCGGGTTTGACTCAATTTTAGAGCTCCGTTGTGGGGGCTTGGTGAGTTATTTCCGGTGAAATTAGAGGCCTGCGCACTGACAGCTTTTATCTGTTATTTGATTCTTTTACGGCCGGACTGCCGCCATCACCGCACATCATCAGAATGCCTCGTCTCACGACGGTCGGCACCATGACCGCCTTGCCACCTTCAAACAGAGTACACAGTGGTGGCTAGACAGTTTCCGTAGTGTAGTGGTTATCACGTTCGCCTAACACGCGAAAGGTCCCCGGTTCGAAACCGGGCGGAAACACTCTTTAACAATCCGCTTCCCCCACATTCCTTGTTTTGGAATTTTAGTGGAGGGTTACACGTGTAGCAGCAACGCAAAACGTGGATCTTGAGCTATTACAGTCCACATCTAACTACACCGGAGTCGGCTCGCCTTCCTGTCCGGTGAGACCATCAGCAGAAAGACGAGCCAGCACCGTTAAACCTCCCACTTCAGCGCTGACATTTCCGGTCGGAACCAGGTAATACCTCACGTTCGCTGCAAACCAGTAGAGGATTGCTAGCCTGACCAGCGAGCCCCATGCTTCCACAAGGGAAGTTCTCTGTGTAGAATTAAACAGAGGACGTGCCTGACAGGCCAGACTAGCGGACTGAAGCGAACACCGACTAAAAACTACAACAATGTTTCCGCCCAGTTTCGAACCGGGGACCTTTCGCGTAGGAGGTGAACGTGATAGCCACACCACGGAAACCTGACATGCACGCAGTCCTGACGAGTCCAGCAGGAGAACGCTATAATGAGGCGAACTCCTCCACAGATTTCCCTTTTGTAATTCGTTGTCAGTTTCATTTTGACTCATGTGAAATATATAGAAACACGTTAAAAACTCTATTTTCACACCATCCCGGTAGACGTCTGACCCAAACTTTTCCTCTCGTCATCACCGTTACTCGATACAAACCAAAAGGTGTAGCAAGCATTGCATTATACGTCACCTGTTAAGCAGCGACAGAAACTCGCTCTTGTGTTTTTAAGTCACAAAAATACATATTTTGATACAAAATTTATCAGCAACGGGACCAGCAGTCGCTTACAATCTCACTTAGGTCTAGGACTCCATTAAAACTCTCCCGGTGAAAAATGCGTCATCCAGGGCTAGCTTAGCTTCAGCTAAAACTCCACAAAAGCCCTCCACTCCGGTCTTCTTAGTTGTTTTTTTTTTTTTTTTTTGTCAATAAACTTTAAAAAAAAAACATCGAAGCTCACCCTTCTACTTAATCTCGTCGTTTCCCGTTAAATTACTAGTTGTACGAACAAATGTCCGGTAGGAGTCTGCTTCATGCGCATTGATTTGAAAGTAGAGCCAGACCTCAGGGCGTCACCTTGTGTACTTCTGTGTTAGTCCGCACCACGGCTACCTGACCATAATCAAGTATCAGCTGAAAAGCCGCGATAAAATAATTAGTGCCAAGGAAAACAAAACAAAAACATGCAATTATTATATCTATCTAACATTTAAAATTTATTTAAACATCACTCACAGAAAACAGCTGTTTAAATGTTAACCCTGCATCCAAAAAGTAAAATAGTGGTTTTATCTATCCATCCAACAAAATTTATTTTATTTTTTAACTACTTGGATAGTTTCCGATAACGAATTAAAAATCTACTTCCTGTAAATGATGATTTTTTTTAGAATGGATCAGTAATGATGTTATGAGCATACAGGAACAGCGAGCCTGTTTCTGTGCAGTCCCTGACCCTGTGCCCTGACCGGAGCCTGAGCAGCAGCGTCAGTTTTTCATACAGTTCAGCTGTTTTGTCATAAATTAACAAATACTCCCAAAATCGTTTGAATGCCTTTAACAGAACATGTAATGTTATTTAATACAAAACCTTTTAAGTAGCTGTTATGATAATTTTTCCAATCAATGCAACACTAAAATTCTCCTAAAATGAAAAACGAAAAAAACGGAAGAGGTTTTAAATAAAATATAAGCTAAATGTAATGAAAACACAAAAGTCTAAATAGTTTGAATTGAAGTAAAAAAAAATTAAACAGAAATAACATTTCTTCCTAGTTTCCTTAGAAGTTTTATACTTTTTTGGGTTTTCTTTTTGCTCATGAAAGTTACGTTTTGCTTCACTAGTGAGTAACTGCAGGTAAACGATGCTTTTTCTCTGCACCTTGTAGTTTTTTTCTCCTCCACACGGGTCTGACAGCTGTGTGTGTGTGTGGGGGGGGGGGGGGGGGGGGGGGATAGGTCAGAGGGTGAGGGTCCAAGGTGGGTATTGGCAGAGCGAGGCGGTCGGCGAAGGGGAACAGGACTGTTCTGGTAGTTGATCAGGATGGTGCGGAGCCAAACGGCAAGAGGCAGCTTGTGAGGTTCTGTCGGCAGGTAAGACAGAATCAGAATAACGTTTGTCAACAAGTTACAAAATTCAAGTTCCTGAGGTCCTCTTCAGTCCGCATAAGTCTTTCGCCTTTTACTAAAGACTTCCGTGGAGAGTGACATTAATGAGCATAAGCAATTTTTGCCAGGCTACCCTCCTTGAACCGTCACCTTATCGTGGTGGAGGAGTTTGAGTGCCCTAATGATCCTAGGAGCTATGTTGTCTGGGGCACTTAGTGCCCCTGGTAGGGTCTCCCATGACAAATTGGTCTTAGGTGAAGGGTGAGACAAAGAACGGTTCGAAGGATCTTTCATGGCGGTTAAAACGAAGAGTCGGAGTACCCGGCCCGGAGGGTTACCGGGGTCCCACCCTGGAGCCAGGCCTGGGGTTGGGGCCCGTGAGCGAGCGCCTGGTGGCCGGGCTTTCGCCCATGGGGCCCGGCCGGGCCCAGCCCGAACCGGATACATGGGCTCGTCCAACTGTGGACCCACCACCCGCAGGAGGAACATGAAGGGTCCGGTGCAATGTGAATCGGGTGGCGGACCAAGGCGGGAGCCTTGGCGGTCCAATCCCCGGACAAGAAAACTAGTTTTTGGGACATGGAACGTCACCTCGCTGGCGGGGAAGGAGCCGGAGCTTGTGGCAGAGGTTGAGCGGTACCGGCTAGATATAGTCGGACTCACCTCGACACATTGCATTGGCTCTGGAACCCGAGACCTGGAGAGGGGTTGGACACTCTACTTTGCTGGAGTTGCTCCGGGTGAGAGGCGGAGGGCTGGGGTTGGCTTTTTGTTAGCCCCGAGACTCTCTGCCTGTGTGTTGGGGTTTACCCCGGGGGACAAGAGGGTAGCTTCCTTGCGCCTTCGGGTCGGGGAACGGGTCCTGACTGTTGTTTGTGCTTATGGGCCAAATATCAGTTCAGAGTACCCACCCTTTTTGGAGTCCCTGGGACGAGTGCTAGATAGTGCTCCATCAGGGGACTCCATTGTCCTGCTGGGGGACTTCAATGCTCACGTGGGCAATGACAGCTTGACCTGGAGGGGTGTGATTGGGAGGAACGGCCCACCTAATCTGAACTCGAGCGGTGTTTTGTTATTGGACTTCTGTGCAAGCCGCAGTTTGGCCATAACGAACACCATGTTCGAACATAAGGATGCCCACCGGTACACTTGGTACCAGGGCAGCCTAGGTCACAGGTCGATGATAGATTTTGTAGTCGTATCATCTGACCTGCGGCCGTATGTTTTGGACACCCGAGTGAAGAGAGGGGCGGAGCTGTCAACTGATCACCACCTGGTGGTGAGTTGGATCAGATGGCAAGGGAACATGCCGCGTAGACCTGGCAGACCCAAACGCATAGTGAGGGTCTGCTGGGAACACCTGGCAGAAGAACCTGTCAAGACGGTCTTCAACTCCCACCTCCGGCAGAGCTTTGACCACGTCCCGAGAGCAGTGGGGGACATTGAGTCCGAGTGGGCCTTGTTCCACTCTGCGATTGTCGAGGCGGCTGTTGCTAGCTGTGGTCGTAAGGTGGCCGGTGCCAGTCGTGGTGGCAACCCCCGTACCCGCTGGTGGACACCAGAGGTTCGGGGAGCCGTCAAGCTGAAGAAGGAGGCCTACAGGGCGTGGCTGGTCAGTGGGTCTCCGGAGGCAGCAGACAGGTACCGGATAGCCAAGCGGGGTGCAGCAGTGGCAGTTGCCGAGGCAAAATCTCGGGCGTGGGAGGAGTTTGGTGAGGCCATGGAGAAAGACTATCGATCGGCTCCAAAGAGGTTCTGGCAAACTGTCCGGCGCCTCAGGAGAGGAAGGAAGCAACTCGCTCACACTGTTTACAGTGGGGATGGGGAGCTGCTGACGTCAACTGAGGCTATAGTCGGACGGTGGAAGGAATACTTTGAGGAGCTCCTCAATCCCACCAATGCGCATTCCGAGGAGGAACCAGAGCTGGGAGGCCTGGGGATGGACTGTCCGATCTCGGGGGCAGAAGTTGCTGAGGTAGTCAAACAACTACACAGCGGCGGAGCCCCGGGGGCGGATGAGGTTCGTCCTGGGTATCTCAAGGCTATGGATGTTGTAGGGCTGTCATGGTTGACACGTCTCTACAACATTGCGTGGTCATCGGGGGCAGTTCCTAGGGAGTGGCAGACCAGGGTGGTGGTCCCCATCTTTAAGAAGGGTGACCTGAGGGTGTGTTCCAACTATAGGGGGATCACACTCCTCAGCCTCCCTGGAAAGGTCTACGCCAAGGTACTGGAGAGGAGGGTCCGATCGATAGTTGAATCTCAGATAGAGGAGGAGCAATGTGGTTTTCGTCCTGGCCGTGGAACTGTGGACCAGCTCTATACCCTTGCAAGGGTGATGGAGGGGGCATGGGAGTTTGCCCGACCAATCCACATGTGCTTTGTGGATTTGGAGAAGGCTTATGACCGTGTCCCCAGGGGCACCCTGTGGGGGACGCTCCAGGAGTATGGGGTGGGTGGCTTTCTGTTAAGGGCCATTCAGTCCCTTTACCAGAGGAGCGTGAGTTTGGTCCGCATAGCCGGTAGTAAGTCGGACCTGTTCCCAGTGAGGGTTGGACTCCGCCAGGGCTGCCCTTTGTCACCGGTTCTGTTCATCACTTTTATGGACAGAATTTCTAGACGCAGCCGTGGTGTGGAGTGTGTCGAGTTTGGTGGCAGGAGAATCTCGTCTCTGCTTTTTGCGGATGATGTGGTCCTCCTAGCTTCATCCAGCTCTGACCTTCAGCTCTTGCTGGGTAGGTTCGCGGCCGAATGTGAAGAGGCTGGGATGAGGATCAGCACCTCCAAATCTGAGACCATGGTTCTCGACCGGAAAAGGGTGGCTTGCCAACTCCGGGTCGGGGGAGAGGTCCTACCTCAAGTGGAGGAGTTTAAGTATCTCGGGGTCTTGTTCACGAGTGAGGGTAGGAGGGATCGGGAGATCGACAGGCGGATTGGTTCGGCGTCTGCAGTGATGCGGACGCTGAGCCGATCTGTCGTGGGGAAGAGGGAGCTGAGCCAGAAAGCCAGGCTCTCGATTTACCGGTCGATCTACGTCCCAATCCTCACCTATGGTCATGAGCTTTGGGTAATGACCGAAAGAACGAGATCGCGGATACAAGCGGCCGAAATGAGTTTCCTCCGTAGGGTGGCCGGGCTCAGCCTTAGAGATAGGGTGAGGAGCTCGGACATTCGGGAGGGACTCGGAGTAGAACCGCTGCTCCTCCGGATCGAAAGGAGCCAGTTGAGGTGGTTTGGGCATCTGGTCAGGATGCCTCCTGGACGCCTCCCCGGGGAGGTGTTTCGGGCATGTCCTGCCGGCAGAAGGCCCCCGGGTCGACCCAGGACACGTTGGAGAGGTTACATCTCCAATCTGGTCCGGGAACGCCTTGGGGTCCTGCCGGAGGAGCTGGTGGACAAGGCCGGGGAAAGGACGGCCTGGAGCTCCCTAGTTGGGATGCTGCCCCCGCGACCCGGACCCGGATAAGCGGAGGAAGACGAGACGAGACGAGACGAGAAGTTCCTGAGGTCCTAGTGGGGACTGCTACCAGGTGTCAGGGATCCAACCAGGTGCTGAACACCTTCTTCAGAGGTTCTGTTTCTCAGAAGTTCTGGTCCATCCTGACATGACAGTATCAGTTCTACCAACCCAAATGTTCTGGACTGGACTGAGATCTGGTGACCGTGGAGGCCGTTGGAGTTCAGTGAACCCCTCGCCATGCTCTAGGAACCAGTTAGGGATGATCTGAGCTTTGATCCTGCTGGAAGAAGCCATCAGAAGATGAACTTCAGCAGGCCATCTCACAGCCTCAGTGACTAAATGCTGATAAGATGTCAGTGAACAATAAATCAATGCAGTTGCATCAAATGTATTGTCGACAAATGCATGATTAAAATGTGGATAGAAATGTGTAAATAAGAGTTTACAAGGAAGAAGGAGGACAAACAAGCCGACGGGGGCATCTGCAGCTGAACAAAAAAGAGAAGAACGGATTTCAAGTTTGAGTCGTTTGTACGACTTTTTTAAAGCAGATTTATTTAGTAAATAATTGTTTGACCCTGTCAATAAGGCCACATCCGCCAGCCGCAGCGTTCCTGCTGGTCAGAAGCATCAGCTGACTACTTGTGCTTTACCTCCTGAACACCAAAGAATCACACACGCACACACACACACACACACACACACATTCTTGTCTAGCATTCATTGTGAGGACCGCCAATGTCTTCCATTCACTTTAGTGACTGGATTGTGCCGAACCCTTAACTCTAACCATAACCAGTCTGTTCCTAACCCTAACGTTAACTACACCCAGTTCACACTATGCCTCTAAAACGAACGAGTAGAGCTCTGTAGTGTACCAAAAGGGTCCATTTTCACCTGACCAACATAATAACCTTTCATCTACAGCATAAATCCACTTTCTGTGTGACCCTCTGAGTCCAGAAGGTTCTGCTCAGCGCGTGTTGACATTCCATGAAGACGAAACATTCAAACAGACGCTGTCCCAAGGTTCCTGCACTCTCTGCTTAGAAACCAGACAACAGTCTTCACTCTGAATAAGTGAAGCCTCCATGATGTTATAGTTATGAGTTAAATAATCATGTGATGAACGAACAAGATGTTTAAATCAAATGTTTGAATGATCTGTGCTTAAACCGATGAATTTCAAATGAATATTGTTCTTACAATGATCCATTCATCTCACAAATCAGTATGTGTTTGATTTAAAGAGTTAATCATTGTTTACACTCGTACACGTTACAATAAGATACTCGTTAAGGTTAAAAACATCTTGTATCTGAAGGACGGCGTGGCTTTCTGAGGGATGTTGCTAAAGCCTTCCAGACATGGTACATTCTGATTTGGCAGAATACGCCAGAAATTATAAATAATGAGTTCATTAAAACACAAATTACTTCCCGATTAATTCAGTTTCCTGCTGAGCCCGATTCGGCCAAATCAGGAAAGAAGCCTCTTTTGAAACCATCTCCTTTGACCTTAAGTCCAAACCTTTCTGCGACGCTGCGAGTGATTACAGACACGACAGCTCTTTTCAGAGCTGCTGCAACTCTCAGACATCCACCTTGGACACCTAACCTGCAGACCCCGGGTCTCATGGCCGGGGCAGCTGAACTCAGAGGAAGCTACTAATCTCTGAGTATCGTGGTTTCGACGTCCGGTGACCTCACCACTCTGACCCCAACCCTCCGGACCGCCGGGAGCAACTCATACCAGGGTATGGTAAGCCTGCATACTGGTGTCTGATGAGGTTTATAAATAAACAACTCTCTAGTTTATAACAAACAACTAATTCTTTTACGCCCAGATTTCACAGTTTCTCCCAGATACAAAGAACGGTTGCTACAACATCTAGCTTCCACCACACCACCTCTCATTATTCATATCTCGTCATGTATAAATTATTAGTTTAGGAATTAGAATTAAATTCATTTTATAAACTGGTTCTGTCTGAAGTAATACAAAGTGCGTTTACAGTCCCTGAAGAAGCAAAGGACCCTAGAATCTCCTGATTAAACATTCAAAGATCAATCAGGTTGATATTTCATGTTTGTATGGAATCATCACATCTTATCGGTCATGATTAAAAATGTACTCTACTACAGCTCTGAAACGTTCTGTCAACGTGAGGACCAGCAAAATGTCCTCAGTTTGATATGTAGATGAGTACACACACACACACACACACACACCATCTGGGCTTTCTGCCAGCAGGAAGCTCCTTGTAAGGGCTGCAGGACATCCACTGCAGCAGCAGGAAACACCAAATATGGACTGAACTGTGTTGATCTTCCTGCAGACAGCTGGCTGAGCTGGTGATGACAATGTCTGACCCCAATGGCTGTTTCTCTCTCTCTAACACACACACACGCACACACACACACACACACACACACACACACACACACACACACACACACACACACACACACACACACACACACACACACACACACACACACACACACACACACACACACACGGTGTACTTCTGACATGAAGCCTGCAGATGGAGTCACTCCTTAATCCTCAGAAACTCCTTTAATCTCTGACATTTAAACCTAAAACTATTCTCCATAAATGTTTCTGTTTTCATCAGTAGCTCCTCGTGCTGGTGCCTTTAGTGGATTTTTTCTCTCAGCGAGGTTTAAACTATGAATGACCCGATGAAATCTGGTGAGACACCAGAACAGGTGTCGGAGAGAAAGCTGAAACCTAAAAGCAACAGGATTGAAACTTTATTAAAGCAGGAAATACATTCAGTAGAAAACTGATCCCAGAACCTACTCAGTAGGTAAAACACCACGTGCACGCTCATGAGTGTGCACGTCCAGGTATGTACATTATGAACAGGTGAGCATTTATGGAGTTCAGACATTGGCCTTTCAAAATTAAAGTTTTTTGTCAAAGGTCACCCCAGACTTCCTGTCTCTCAGTAGATGTTGGCGCTGTGGGGGGAGGGTAGCTCTGACTGAGGACTCCCCATCGGAGAGTAAAGGTGGCGTGACGGTGTGGAGGCTTAGTCATGCGACAGTGAGGGGGATGAGGCGGTGAAGCAGGGGGCGGCGGCCGGCAGGGTGAGGGTGAGGGAGGCTGTGGTAGACGCCGTAGTGGAGGGAGGGGGGGAAGTGGCAATCCGGTCGGCCCGGCAGTCTCGCTGCCTCTGGTGGATCTTGGCATGATGCTTTCGCTCGTCGCCGCAGGCAAATTTGCGTCCACACTCTGTACAAGTAAACGGCTTCTTGCCGGTGTGCGTAGTCAGGTGGTCGCTGCGAGTGAAGCTGCGCGTGCAGATCCTGCACAGGAAAGGCTTCTGACCGGTGTGCACACGCACATGGCGAGTCGACTCCTCTGAGCGGGAGAAGCGGCGGGCACAACCGTCGGCGGGACAGGCATACGGGCGCTCGTGTGGTGGCGTCTCGCACTGCCGGCCTGCAGAGGACTTCCTGTTGAGGCAGACAGAGTCATAAGGAGGGAACTGTGATGAGAAGGCCTTGATGGCAGGGAGGGGTGTGAAAGGTGGCAGCTTCTGGTCTTGGCTTGACCCATGCTCACTGCTAGGTGGCTGCAAGTAGTCCAGCGATGTGGGCATGGCAGTGGAAGTGGGTGCATGGTAGGTGGGTGGGGGCCCCTGGGGCTGGAAGGCCTGGGTGGCTGACTGGGAATTGCTGGAAGAAGGGAGGTGGTCAGAGCTGGTGGTGGAGGCAGAAGTCGACATTGCGGAGAAGAAGGAGGCAACGCCATCAGAACTGCAGCCCAGGCCAAGCTGAGATGGTGCTGAAGATGTCACTGTCGGCGCTGGAGGTGGGGAGGAGGTGGCGAGACTGCAGGGCACAGAGGGCGGGGCTGCGACGTTGACAAACCCAGACAACAGACTGAGAAGAGGCTCTGCCCACAAACTGTTGCTGCCACAACAGAAGGTGGAGCCAGAAGGTTCAAAGGTGAAGTGTCCACTGTAGCTCAGAGGGGACATGGGGCGTGAGAGGGAGGAGGTTCTGCAGGTCAGCGAGGTCCGACAGGGAATCTGAGAGAAAGAAGAACAGGTGAGCCCCACCTGAAGACTGCATGCACCTCACTGGCTGAAAGATGAACTTTTTTCTCATGTTGACTGATTGTTTTTTTTTTATTTTATGATTATTTTGGAGCAGAAACCTTTTCAGGCAGCTCTGTCTGAGAGGGAACTCTCCTTCACACAACACCACGTGCTCACAGCTCTCTAAGGTCTAATGGACCTCCAGCTGCAGCTCTGACCCATGAACCTGCAGATCTGCAGCTCAGGACTTTTAGTCTTTGAGAAAATAACAACTAAGCATGATTATAAACTGATGCAGACGAGCAGCAGACTCAGAACCGGGTTTTCTCTGCCTGTTTGAACCCTCCACAACCCCCAGCTCCTCACCTCCGAGCTCCGCGGACTCCCCGCATATGGACAATTTAAAAAGGCCTTTATTTTGGAAGGCAACATCAGAATGACTTGATATTGATATTGATATGGTATCACTGTGGGGTTGTATACTGTTGATCTAAAGTGGTATTACTCTGTGGAAACAGCAATTTTCCATTTTAGAGCATTCTGAAATCGTTAAAAGAGTCGGTCAAATATGGGCAATTTCAAATTGCTGTGGTTGGATAGTGTTGATACAAAATGCAACTGCTCTTTGGAAATAAGACTTTTGCGTTTAAGAGCATTCTGTATGGGGTGCCATTTGTAAAGTCAAACAGTCATAATCTAACAGCAATATTTTTGGTTATTTAGCATATCATAAGAGAAAAAATTGAGAGTTCACTTTTTCAAAGTCATATTTTCACCATGTTATTCATACATTTATAAATGTTAAAGTTTCCAAATAAATATTTAGTTAGCACGCTAAATATTTAATTTATAGTTAAATATTTATGTTGCAAACTAAATATTTAGGTCTGATCTAAATACTTAGTTTGTAAAATAAATATTTAATTCACTAACTAAATATTTAATTTACTAATTAAATATTTATTTTGGAAATAAATATTTAAAATTTAAATTAAATATTTAATTTGTAAATTAAATATTTTCCAAAGAAATATTTAGATCCCAGCTAAATATTTATTTTCCATGATGTTATTTAGCTCCACACTATAGTTTATATTTTTGGGTCAGACTTAAATATTTATTTCCCAAATACTGATTTTGCAAACTAAATGTTTAGCTCCAAAATAAATATTTAGCTGGGATCTAAATATTTATTTCGGAAAATAAATATTTAATTTACAAATTAAATATTTAGTTCCAAAATAAATATTTAATTAGTAAATTAAATATTTAGTTAGTGAATTAAATATGTATTTTACAAACTAAATATTTAGATCAGACCTAAATATTTAGTTTGCAAAATAAATATTTAACTGCAAATTAAATATTTATCTTGCTAACTAAATATTTATTTGGAAACTTTAACATTTATAAATGTATGAATAACATGATGAAAATATGACTTCGAAAAAGTGAACTCCCAATTTTTTTCTCTTATGATATGCTAAATAACCAAAAATATTGCTGTTAGATTATGACTGTTTGACTTTACAAATGGCACCCCATAATTCTGAAGTCATTGAAAGAGTAGTTAAAAAATGAAAATTCACAGGGCTTTTACTTTGAAATCCAAAATAAGATGGCCTTGATATTGACAGGGTGCTAATAGTGAACAAGCCTAAATTATCTGATATTATGTTCTTAAAATATCTGATAATTCACTTGAAGTTGAATTTTATTTTGAAATCCGGTTTCCACATCCATTCCCGTAATAATTTGAATAGACGGGGAACAGAAAACAAACTGGAGGCTGGCTTGACACCAGTCAGAACATTTCTGTGGGCCGTTCTGAACCATGGGCTGCACTTATTTTCAAAAAGGACTAAATCAATGAGCAGAAACTCTAACCATATTTATGAGGGCCTGCCTGATGTAATCACTTATCTCAAGTGTTATTCAAGAGTTTGAACTAAGTTCACGATCACCTGATAATACACCTGCCTCTGATCAGTTTTCTCCATCCTCACAGCTAAACTGAATCATCGCCATTTTGCTGCAGCCAGGCACCTGTCGTATTTTTTTTTCATCTCTCTTGGTCAAAATGACAACAAAAACAGCGAGGAACCCATCCAATACGGCGGCAACGCTAGGGCCTAAAATTTCCAGAAACCCTAAACCAGTTGTCACGTGACTTTTTCGAGCAGCACCCGCCTTAACCGGTTGCTATGGAGACAGATCACAAACCTGCTGCTGCGGGCTGGCAAAGAGAACAGAGATTCCAGGTTGTTTTCTTCGCAGGTAAGTTAAAATACATCCTCAACAGCGCGCTGCGCGTGCATTTTCACCTCAATAACAACAACAAATCCGCGTTAACAGACAGAAGTGACTTTCGGTTCCAAATGAGAGCAACACGCGTTTACCCTCCGAGGCCAGTGCCGTTTTAGCAAGCCATTTTACCATTTAATTAAATGGAGCAGAAATTCAGTGTATTCTGGTCCAAATACTATTATAGTAATAGTCATATCTGAAAACAAAAATAAAAGCCGTATAAATTATACTGAAGGACTTCTGTAATAACAACCACACTGATAGGAATTAAGTTTTAGTTTTAGAAAGTGCATATGAATAATGAGGCTGTAACTGTCCCCGAGACAGTTAAAATAACGTTGTTTATTTCAAATGTTTCTGTGATAGAGAGATGCTTAATTTGGTTCATTTAATTACTAGATAAGATGATAAAAGTGTTAACATTGATTTAAAAACGTGTCTAAAATATGTGATTAAAAAATATGGGTTTGTTAAAGAGCAAGTCACCCCCAAATCACTTTTTTTTTGCTGATAAACTATATAAAGGAGTGTCTAATCATGCTGCAGACACGTGTAGTCAATAATTTGGCAGTTCAGTGCATCTTGGTTAAAATTCAAATATTCTGCCTAAAACTGTCAGTGTTGCGCCGTCGTCAGGGAAAAATTCTGCACTGTATTTGAATTTAAATCTGCCACCGCTATTGGCTAAGAGGTATGCTATGATGTAATCTGGTACATTATGATGTCATAATGCCATTGTGAGCCTGTGTGTGTGTGTGTATTTGTTAGCGGCTCCTCCCTCTCGGTCTGCCAAGCAACAGCATTTGTTGCATTTTTCAAACATGAGGTGGGAGTGAAGTAAGTTTCTTGTAGGGGGTGACTTGCTCTTTAAAGCGCAAGTCACCCCCAAATCAACTATTTTTTTCTGATAAACTATATAAATGCGTGTCTAATCGTGCTGCAGACACGTGTAGTCAATAGTTTTGCACTTTAGTGCATTTTAGTTAAAATTTAAATATTCTGCCTGAAACTGTCAGTGTTGTGCCGTTGTCAGGTAAAAACTCTTCACTGTATTTGAATTTAAATCTGTCACCGCTATTGGCTAAGAGGTATGCTATGATGTAAACTGGTACATTATGATGTCACAATGTCGTGAGTGTGTGTATTTGTTAGTGGCTCCACCCTCTTGGTCTGCTAGGCAACAGCATTTGTTGCATTTTTCAAACATGAAGTGGGAGTGGAGTACGCTTCTTGTAAGGGGTGACTTGCTCTTTAAATATGTAACGTGCTGTAAAGTTTGTATGAGGTAGAGTTTGTAATGGTCACATGATCAGATTGTTTGACAGCGCAACCATAGCAACCATAGCATGGATACATGGCTACAGATGCGTCTACAGCCTCGACGTTAATGTCATTCTGCATGTGGTCCAAGAGGCGCACACGTTTTCACGTGTCTGAAGACAATAAGAGAGAGAGAGAGAGAGAGAGAGAGAGCAAAATAAACATCCGAAGACATCAGTATGATGCGTGGCCATTCTTTGTTAGACCCCTGTAGTTACAGTGAAAACGTGCCGCCAACGTGCCTGGAAGTTCAACGTTAGAAGCAGTGAATGTTCCAGAAGAAGAAAAGAAGAAAGGTTCTTGACAGCGCAGTGTGTGTGGTTCGAGAACACAGCGGAAAGGAGGCTTGCAAACCATGGACGTAATTTTGGGGGGGGACAGGGGGGACATGTCCCCCCCACTTTTTCCAAAGTCAAGTTATGACCCCTGCACTTTTTATTATCCAAAAACAATATTACTTTATATTAAATTGACACTGGTTGAGCTCCAGGACCAAGCGGAAAACAATCGTTTGTGTTGAAGCCTGTTTCCCATTGGAGCATACTGTAAAGATACCCCCCCCCCCCCCCACTCTCCCACCCCGTGTGTCCCCCCACTTCTAAAGTGAAAATTACATCCATGTTGCAAACTCGAAAAGAGGAAACATCATTATTGGCGCTTTGGACGGCAACGACCACGACTTCACCAATAGAGGGCGACATTGACCATCATAAACTGCAACCGTCTGCAACTCTCTGCCGTTGCACACAGCAAAAACTGTATAATCCCCTGTCTTCAAGGAAAAGATAACGGCTCTGCAGTCAACGTCAGGTTGGGCTGTGATATATCCACAACTGTTAGTAAAGTTTGGAGAGGTCTATTAATATAATAATTTATTTTGTATGAGAAAGGTACTGAGCTAAAGGTAACCAGCCTGTCATCGCCAAACTGTTCCCCTTTAATTTACAAGTGGTGTTGTTTAAAGTGTTCTAATGATGTTTAAGAGTTCAACTTAAACGAAGACTAACAAGGGGTGTTGTTAAGCAAATTGTTGCAAGAATCAGATTGTATTGAGAATTATATGTTTGCCAGGATCGCATTACATATAGCAACGACTTGTTATGCAGCAGGTTTGCTGAAACATGTGCAATGTCAGTAAACACAGACCGTAAATACAGACCGTGCTTCTCCACTGATGTATTTGCATAGGTAGAACACAGAATTCGGAGAACAAATCGATTCCCGTAAGGAAGAGCTAAGTAGATTGAATGAACAATTGAAATTACAGACTGATGATGTTGAAAGGGAGAAATTGGAGTTACTCATAGGTGATATTCATGCTAAAATAGAAATAAAGCAGAAGCCTGCCGCTAATACTTCAAGACTAGAGCTCAGGAAATCCTCAAGGGAGCGAAAGTTAACACCCAAAATGTTAGAAATTAAGCAACAAGAGTTTTCTCAGAAGGAGAGTAAATTTATCAAACTATATGAAACCTGGAAAGAACAAGTTAAAGCTACACGTTCCAAACTTAAAAAAGAGTGCTCTGACCAGGAATTAGCTGACATGATGGATACTGTCGAAGGGCTGGAGTCACAACAAGTGAAAAATACATATGAAGATATAAGATCGCAGGCAGCCCCTTCTACTGAGACTAGAAGAAAAATTGATTCCTGCACAGCAGTAACAGCGGACTTGATGAGAATACTTAAAGTACGTATGAGCGAAGTGGGGATAGAAGAGTTTGATGCGAAGGCAGAAAATGCAAGACTTCACAGAATATGCTCAGTCAATATTTGGGACTACAATCTCCCGACCTTCAGTACGTAGCCACCGCTCAAGCTGTTTATCGGAGCAGCAAAGCATCAATGTAAAAAAGGCAGAGTGTGCTGCACAGCTTGCCGCGAAGCAGGCCGAGATAGAAATGGAGGAGGCTATTGCTACACAAAGGCAAGAGCTTAAAAGACTAGAAAATCAGCGAGATCTTCAGGTAATAACTGCAAAGCTAAAAGCTTATTCTCAAGCAGATTCAAGTGAAGTCTGTGGAGAAGTCAAAAGTGCACACAGTGAGGTAGTCAGTTGTCCTCCGTTAGCTCCTGAAGAAATCGTACCAGAGCAAACCTACAAGAATAATAACAATGAACAACCAAACAATAATAACAATGAGTCACTGTTAATGCAAGCATTGCATGACACGATGGTCCTCACCAGACTTCCTGCACCTGAACCTCCAGTCTTCTCAGGGGACCCACTTAAGTTCTTAGAGTGGAGCACTAGTTTCAAAGCTTTGATAGAACGGCGATGCACAAATCCAGCCGACAGGTTGTTCTACCTACGCAAATACATCAGTGGAGAAGCACGGTCTGTATTGGAGGGAAGCTTTTACAGAAAAGATGACCAAGCATATGACCAAGCTTGGGAAGCTTTGAATGCTCGGTATGGTCACCCCTTTGTAATTCAGCGTGCATTTAGGGAAAAACTGAACAACTGGCCAAAGATTGGTTCAAGAGAGTCGCTTAAACTGAGACAATTCAGTGATTTTCTGACAGCCTGCAGCAATGCTATGCCATACATCAAAGAACTGCAGGTGTTAAATGACTGTGAAGAGAATCAAAAATTGCTCCAAAAACTTCCTGACTGGGTGACCTCTCGTTGGAATCGTCAGGTCACGGTGCAGTTACGGCAAACAGAAGAATATCCAAGCTTCAAAAAATTTGCTGACTTTGTTACACAAGAAGTGGAAGTTGCATGCAATCCCATAACATCATTTAATGCCTTGAAACACACTGAAGCTAGAGACATAAAGTGTCCAAAGGCTACTGCATACATCACAAGTGTGGAAGCATCAGACAGAACAACCACAGGATACAGCAAAGTGGAGAACAATTCAAATGAGGCTGATATAGAAAGAAAAGCACATGCATTGCCATCAAACTCAGTCACATGTATTTGCTGTGGAGAAAGCCATTCTATTCACAAATGCCAGACCTTTGCTAAAATGTATGTGGAAAACAAGAGAAAGTTCATACTTGACAATAACCTGTGTTTTGGCTGTCTCAGAAGAGGACACAATTCCAAAGACTGTAAGCGCAAGGCGACTTGTGGGGTTTGTAAAAAACATCATCCAACAGCTCTTCGTGAAGACCGTCCAACAACTGCAGTGAACACATCATCACATAGAATGCAGGCAGAAGAAAACATATCTGCTCTTTCTTGCTGCATGGACAAAGGAGATGGTGGGAGCACATCCATGATAGTCCCCGTGTGGGTTTCTTCAACCACCACTCCAGAGAGAGAGACCTTAGTGTATGCTTTATTAGAAACGCAGAGTAGCAACACTTTTGTAGATCAAGAGGTATGTGAGGAGATGGGGATGAGTTTAGAGCCAGTGAAGTTAAAGCTAACCACTATGATGGGAAGAGATTCCATTGTTCAGAGCGAAAGGGTTAGTGGGCTCAGAGTTAGAGGGTTTTACTCCAAAGTCTTTATCAATTTGCCACTTGCCTATACCAGAGACTTCATCCCACTTGAACGTTCACACATTCCCACCTCTGAAACTGCCAAGAGATGGAAACATCTAATCAGAATAGCACAGGAGATGCCCGAGTTAGTGGATTGCAAGGTCGGGCTGTTAATAGGCTACGACTGTTCTAGAGCACTGGCACCACGGCAAGTAATCGCGGGGGGTGACGAAGAGCCATATGCAATCAAGACAGACCTGGGCTGGAGCGTTGTTGGCAGTTCACAAAAAATGGCAACATCAACAGAAGTGACAGGCCTGTGCCATCGCTTATCTCAGCCTTTCTCAAATGGGGGTACGCGTACCCCTGGGGGTACGTAAAGAAACTGCGGGGGTACGTGAGAAAATGTACATTCATTTAAAAAAAATAGTAATCATGGAAAATCTTTAAAAAAATAATTATTTAATAAATATTTTAGGAAAATATAAGTAAAAGTTCATAAAATGTGTTTTATATTCAGTAGAAGTAGGCTAAATTCATTATCTCAAAATCCCAGAGTCCTCCCCCCAATGCTTATGCGCTCATTAGGGGGTACTCGGCTGAAAAAAATATTTCAAAGGGGGTACATCAGTCATAAAAGGTTGAGTACCACTGGCTTATCTGTTAAGGAGCTTCCACCTCTGACACCAGCCACCATCATCAGAGTACTTGAGTCAGATTTCAAAGACACAGCTCCTGGAGAAAAGAGAATATCACAAGATGACATACAGTTCATGCATCTGCTAAATGAGGAAATACACCAGAATGCTGACGGGCACCTAGAGATGCCACTTCCCTTTAAGGCACGTCCTCAGCTGCCAGAAAATAAGCGTCTGGCTCTGGTGCGACTTAAGCACCTGAAAGGGAAGTTTGAGGAAAACCCCAAATTTAAGGACGATTATGTAAGGTTCATGGACACTGTCTTCAAGGAAGGTGATGCTGAAAGAGCTGAAGATGATCCCAGAGAAGGAAATACGTGGTATATTCCACATCAAGGCGTCTATCACCCAAGAAAACCAGAAAAAATCAGGGTTGTGTTTGACTGCTCTGCCAAGTACAGTGGCACAGCTCTGAATGATCACCTCTTGACCGGACCTGACCTCATCAACAGTTTGACTGGAGTACTCTGCAGATTTCGTGGTGTGTGTGTGTGTGTTTGTTTCAACAACAAAATTTAACAGTCCCAGTGCGTATGCACCAGTTAGCGTAGGCTAACCACCAGGTCGAGGGGTGGGATCTACACTTGTCTTTTAAACTGTCTCAGCACGCGCTAGGAGCTGACAGCGCTAGGACCAATCAGAGCTAGTCAGAGGGAAGTGTCTGTTCTCGACCTGACTCGTGAATGCACGTGAAGGCTGTGCTTCAGTTCAGTACTGATGTCATTACTGACTCAACGCGTTAGACTGTTACACACAAGTGCAGTTGAAAGACATGAACAGCAGTTAGCAGGTAAAGCTGTCATAACCAGTTATGACCTAAATGGAAGGTACTTATTTCACCCTGAATTGATTATATGTAATGAGGAAACCCCTTTGGAGGTTTTTTGTTCATTGTACGGTAAAACAATGTTTTTTTTTTCACGTTAAAATAGTTTATTCCACAGTAAAATACCAACTTCAGTACCATTTTCAACCATAAATACAATCAAAACACCTTCTTACATAAAAGGAAACCAAATTTTGCCCGTAATTTTGCCGTACCATTCCAGCAACCCCAGCTGTCGGCATTTTACCATAAACTCTACATTTTTTTAAGTGTGGGTTAGTCTTTTTAATAGGCACCGGTGCTTCTGTGCCCATAAATATCCACGTTAATGCTATATAGTGCATTGACATGAGTATTGTGAGAGTGCCTGTTTTTATCAAATGGTGTTTTGGAATGTGTACTTTGTGAAGTGCTTTGGGACTTTTGTCGTGAGTTGGCGCTCATGGCCCCCCCTAGAAAATTGCTGCCCCCCCCCCAGCAAAAGCCAGTGTTAATAAAATCATATTAATGTTCACTCAAACCATAAATTGATCTCATTTATTCAAGACATTCATACCATTCTAACATGGTACAGCCATAAATATACTGTGGAGATATAAAAAAAAGTTGTCTTGCTTTTGTCTAAAAACCTCCGTCAACAACACGTTACGAACCAAAACCAACCATCGGACCATCCGGCCATGGACGTCATTTTCGCTTTAGAAGTGGGGAGGACGGGGGTGGGTGGTGGTGGTGTGTGTGTGTGTGTGTGTGTGGGGGGGGGGGGGGGGTATCTTTACAGTATGCTCTAATGGGAAACACGCTTCAACACAAACGGTTGTTTTCCACTTGGTCCTAGAGCTCAACCAGTGTCAATTTAATATAGCGTAATATTGTTTTTGGATGGTAAAAAGTGCAGGGGTCAAAACCTGACATTGGAAAAAGTCCAATTACATCCATGCATCCGGTTGTTGGTCTCACCGAACCGCCGCACTTCCCTGGGTGCTCCACTCATGACACACTCACGTCCTTAGCACCAGCTGGTGTGAGACGTTCGCTCAGAAACATCAGAGAAGGAGAAACAACCGGCTGCTACAGTCCCAAAAAGAAAAACACTATCTGAAGCTACGGACAAGGCATTTGGACCTATGATGACTGGTGTTTAGGGCTATCTTGTTTCCTCTAACAATGCGAGTTCTGGTATCCAGGAGGCGTGGCCTACAGATAATAGTCAGTGGGAGGGCTAAGTGTTCCATGTTTGTGTTTAAAGCTAGCTTGTTCTGTAGATTTACTTTAGCAGATTTAATCAGTCCCTAGCCAATTATTAGTTCCTTCGAACATCCAATCCTTGGTTTTCCTAATCCAAAGGGCAACGCTCTAAAACCACTTTTGGTTTTAGTTTCTTATCGCCCACCTTTTCCTTTTTGGCGGTGAGTGAGTGAGTGACTTCTACAGGTTCTTCTGCACTTGTGCATGATGGGATTTGAGGTCAGGTCCCCATGATTAACTCAGAGGAGGTCTGGATGTGTGACAGGAGGACGCATGCCGAGGAAAGTGGTGAAACGTGTTGAGATGACGAAGGAGGAGCAACTTCTGCAGCTGCAGCAGAAACTTCAGGCAGATGAGGAGTTGGCCAAGAAGAAGGAGGAGACACTCCAGCTGTTCCTGAAGGTAACGTCTGCTCCAACATCTGAAAAAACACAAACACTCCGATGCAGCTAGAGCACAAAGTTCAGACCTTCAGAAAGTTTAGAGGACCAGTGATCTAAACCACTTCCCCAAATCCCAGGAGTCTGGCTGCAGAAAGATAGACTGGAACAAGCTTTTTGCACCTTTCCTGTCCAAGCCAAGCCAGGGCCCTCAGCCCCAACTCCTACCCACATGCACACACTTACAGGTGATTAATGGTTTGGATAGAACAGTGTTTCCCAACCCTGGTCCTCAGGGCACACTGACCTGCATGTTGTCCATGTCTCTGCTCCAGCACACCTGATTTACATCGGCTCAGTAGGACATCAAGCGCTGCAGATGCCTGTTAATCACTCGTTCATTTAAGTCAGGCGTGGCAGCAGAAAACAGTGGTGTTTAAAAAGAAACACAGAAAACAGGCAGGACAGTGGGCCCTGAGGACCAGGGATGGGAAACCCTGCTGCAGAGTCATGGAATCCCCCAAGGTGTTTTACAACACAGTTACCCCAAGATTCTATTACCTCCGCTGTGGTCCGCCCCCGCCTTCCGCAGCCGCTCGCTTCCGAACTCAATTTTTACTGCTACCCGCTCTACAACGGCTCCGCTCCGGTGTGGAGACCTGGGGTGGGCAAACAGGCATGCGCATGATTTTCGAGATCTTGCGATACAGTCCGAGCAATAAACGCGGAAGTTAGATCCAAACACCCGTTGTGTGGGAGAAGCATCGAAATGAACGGTTTAATCTGCCCATCAGTTGTGTTGAGAGATCAGCAGTGTTTGAATCAACAAAGTGTGACTACTTTGATAGTGGAAACTGTATTTATGGCTTACTTTTGTGCATTTAAAGTTCAGCCACCATTGATAGTTGTTAAAAGTTGTTAAACCTGTGCATATGAAACAAAAAACGCCTTTTGTTTATCGATTTATTGTGAAAAACGGAAGTTGTAATTGCTCCTTTTCCTGTTGGGTGGTTGTGATTTCTGTCCATTGACTGCGGAGGGCGTCCGGCAAAAATAGAATGGATCCTATTTTTGCCGGATGGCGGAACGGCGCACTGCACCGCACGGCCGCAGTAGTGGAACAGCTCTGAATGACTACAACGGGACCGTGTTTGCTGCGGAGTTCGTGCCGGAGCGGAGCGGAGGTAGTGGAATTTGATGGTGATGAGTGTATTTATAAAAGCACCTTACAGACATATTTTATGCCACCAAGGTGCTGAACAGGACTAAACTAAGAAAATAAAAACAAGAAATACATATAAAAACAAAATAAAAGTAACAAAAAACAAGAAGATTAAAATGACAGCAGCTAACACAGAATAAAAGACAGATTATAAAAATGTGTCTTCAGCGCCTTCCATGTAGCCACTGCTGCCCTGGGGCGCACTGACAGGGGCAACAGGCACCACCGGTCCCTCCGACCACTGCCACCACGCAGGCTTGGTTAGATGTCTTGCCCAAGGACACAACGACAGACTGAGCAGGCCTTGAACGTGCAACTTTCCGATTACGGGGCGAGCACTTAGCTCCTGTTCCGCTGTCGCCCGCATCAATTATAATGACATGATTAATGACAACGTTCACACAGAGTTAGAACCCCTACTCTAACATGTCTTATTGGGTGTGTTGGTGGCATTTTCTTCATGTAATTATTACAAATATAATCGGACCTCAGCACAGACCTGGAGCCACGGGCCCCGGGTTGGGAACCACTAGAGCTAATTCTGAACCGTTTGCCTGCTTGGACCCAGGACAAGCTGCAGAAGGAGAAGAGGAACACGGTGATGAACCAGAAGAAGCTTGATGATGGCTGGAGGAAGGGTCTTCGTCAGCTCCTAGAGAATGAGCTGCATAACGACAGGGCGGTGCACCAGCAAACGTCTGAGAGGAAGCTAGACGAGCAGAACTCCATCATCCAGGTAAGCCTCCACGTCCTGCACCTGTCCCTGCTGGGCACTGACACACTGATGTGTGTGTGTGTGTGTGTGTGTGTGTAGAGGCTGGGGAACAGCCTGCAGGAGGCGGAGCATCAGGAGATTCAGCAGCAGAACTGTTACCTGCAGCACATAGAGCACTTGTCGGCTCGGAAAGACAAATGGCTGAAGACCAGGAAGCAGCAGCGGGAAGGCAGCCTGCAGGAGCTCCAGTCCGCACGCATTTCCAACTGGTGAGCCCAGAACCACAAGTTGGACCTCTGCTGCATCAAAGCTGGAACATTTATGCCTCATTCCATCTGGTGGTGGTGCTGCTCAGACGCTACAGGCTCTGCACAAGTTGCACCAACATTACGGTCAAGTTCTTAAGCTTAGAGTTGAAGAATGTGTCCCTGACTAGAGGGAGCCCGACACAAGTCAGGCACGTCCTCGGGCAGCCCGGCGCCGATGCAGGATTTAATTTAAATGTTTTTCATGTTCACTAATAGCATCTGCATAGTAAATACTCTGAATTAACTTTATTGAAGTGTCTGACTTTAACACTGAGCAGTGCACAAAGTCAGCATTGAACAGTTTGGATTAGGGTTCAAACACTGACTCAGCTTCAGAAATGTTGTGCATCAGCTGATTTTATTAGTGACACTTTAGCCTGAAAATAAGGGAAAACGTCTGGAGATCAGCCATCGGCCGACCGCGTCTCCTACATATCGGTATCGGCAATAGAAAAGCCACTATCGGTCAACCTCTACACCCGACCCGACCCGAGCCGACCCGACACCACCAGCTGGGTGTTTCAGTTTTCATCCTTTCAGCAGGAAAATCTTTTAGAATGAGTCAAAAAGGACTTCCCAGTGTCCATCTGGTCCCTCCAGGTTCTGACCCGATTCAGTTCATACGACACCAAACACGGTTCTCGTGAGAACCTAATCAGCCTTCTAAAGTGGTTCTGGACCAGCGGTTCTTCAGACTCGCTGAAGGTCTGCAGAGGTTCCATTTGTACTTTCAGTTCTGGTACCAGGTTATGTTCTGGGACGTTTGACCTCTGACCTCCTGATCATCAACGCAGAAAACCGCTGCTCCCACCCATGCCAGACAAACGCCACTAACATCTCAGAAGACTCTCCCACCTCGTCCAGCTTAGAGACGGGTGTATCCCACAACAATCATGGTCCGGAATTCCCAACGGCGTTCCCTGCTGTCCTTTTCCCAGGCTGCAGCAGAGAACCGGATAGACCAGGGCACCATCAGCAGACAGCTCGTCATGGTTCCTGTTTCCTTTTCAGCCTGTAGCCAAACACCACGTCCACTTTTGTGACAAGATTCAGGTCCGGGTCTGAACCTGTTGTCTCTGCTCCCTGCAGGATGAAGATGTCGGACCTCCAGCATCGGGCCAGCCTACCGCTCCAGACTAACAGTGACCAGATGTCCGGACCCAAAGACTTGCAGACCCTGTCCAGCGAGGAACTGGTGGGTGGCTGGGGTTTGGTTCTGAGGTTGGTCTGGTCTCAGCCGTGTCTCCTTTCTTTCTGAGGACAGTTTAGGACACTGGAGACAGACATCAAGAACCTGGAGAGCACCATGCTTCAGAACCAGGAGGTCCATCAGCACAACTTGTTCCAGTTGGATCAAATGGACCAGCAGTTCTACAACGACCAGCACCAGTTCAATGCTGATATGAGGAAGATGAAGAGGGTGAGTGTCAGTACCAAGTTTTCCTCTCAAGTTCTGGTTCTGCTTCAGAGTCCAGAACTTCTCAGACTCTGCTTCTTCTAGGACTAAAGTCAGATCTCAATAAACAACAGATCAGAGGAAGTGGGAGTAAAGGTGAAATCAGACGACATCATCAGTGAAACCTGCTAACACCAGCTGATCCAGAGGCTCTCGTCCTTGTAGAGGACCGCTCCTCTCCACATTCACACACGCCTTCGTCAGAGCGTCCCTGTGGCGAAGTGTGTGTGTCTAGACTTTATATGATCTGTCTCTGATGGTCAGTCAGCATAAACTAAAGTCCACCTTTAAAGAGCAAAGTGCAGGTTAGAGACTCCCATGAACCAACGTTCAGAGAAACACAATAGAAACTCGTTTTAAACATTTTTTACACAAACATAAATTATTTAGGCTTTTAGTCATTTTTGTGAGAATGTTTTTTTTTTTTTTTTTTTTGCCAAACCAAGTGGCGTCAGCTGAGGGAGTCCTGTTAGCTTAATCCAGAGAAAATCTGAACTCTACTGCGGCTCTGAGAGGAAACTTTAAATGTTTATAATTCTACTTCTGATGGACCAGAACCATAAAGTGCTCGCCCCAGAGGGCAGAGACCAACCAGAGGGAGAAGCCATCAGCCAAAGCAGAGAGATAGTGGAGAAGTGGGGAGGAGAGGGGGAGGGGGGAGGGGTGGGGGGGTGGCAGCTTGTGAGTTAACCATGTTAGCTTAAACTTGTGTGCTAGCATCACAATACAGTACAGATTACTATCATGTACCAGACAGTTAAAGTAGTATTGGTCAGTTAATATAATACTAATACTAATGAGAATCTGTCGGCTGTCTCATACTCGCTAATATCCGTTCACCTAACCTCGTTTAGCTTAGAGAGAGGGAGAGACGCCTGTCATCCGGTTCTGGAGCTCACGCGGGCTTCTGTGAGCTGGTTCTGACCCAGACACCAGTGAGCCAGTCCAGCTGGTATTCTTAAAAGCTGCACATGATCCTCTCCTGGTGGTCCAGGCGGCGGTTCTGACCCGATACCGACCGATGTGGGCTACAGACGTCCGTCTTTTCAGCTGCACAAAACGCCCTCAGGCACGGAGATAGAGGCGTTGTTCGTCTGATCTGGAAACCCGTGGATTCGATGTCCAGACAGGCTGGAGTCGGTACAGCCTTCACACACTCTAGATTATCAGCATGAACACAGTCCAACACGAGTAAACACACACACTGACTGGATCACATGACCTCTCTTCCCTAAACTAGCCACTCTCCACACGGAGCTGAGGCAGCCTAGCTTCTAACTCCCTTTGGTTACGTCAGAGGTTCAGATTTAGAAACAAGAGAAAGGAACTTTTTCCTAGAAAACTGCTGTTATGTATTTTAAAACAAAATATCCACAATAAGCTTTTTAATAGTATTTTTGGGACAGCATTTTATATGAATTAGAAAAAAATTAACCTGAAATGTGCTCTTTAAAACCACCTGGACCTTCTGGTCGGAGCTCCTCTCTGATCAGATGTCTCGCTTCACCAGGACAAAAGGCTCCAGCTGACTTACCAGATCTACTCTGGAAGGATGGAGCAGGCTTTGATAGAACCTGACCCGGCATTCATCAGCACCAGAAGAACTGGACGGTGGCACGAGGTGACGGATCAGCTGGTACGAGATAACCAGGCAATGAAGAAAGAGCTCATTGAGCTCAGCATCAAGAGCGACGCTGTCACCAAGAAGCTGCAGGCCATCATCTCCGAGGTGAGCCCAACTCACCTGTTCTTCCACCGCCTCACCTGCATGCTTCTCATCCTGCTCCTGGTCTGCTGTTTCAGGGTGAGAGGGCTCTGCTGGCTGATGAGATGAGTCCCAAAGTGAACGTTTCAACCTCACCACAGGTCTGCATGGAGGCCGGACCTGTTAAGGTAGGGTGACCTGCCAGGAAGTAGCCACAGCCACTTAGCCTGAGCCAGCCAGGATCCTGTGCTTTAGTCTGGTCTGATCTTCAGCTAACACGCTTATCCTGGCTAGCTGGTGTCGGTACAGGATCTGCTCGGGTGCAGGATCGGCTCGGGGTCCTTCGACTGTCGATGACGTCACATTATTGCTAATCTCCTCGGCTTTCACACACACGTTTTGGAAAGACATCAGCAGTTTTGTTAATAAATTCTTGTTTGTTAACACCTAAATGTTTTCTTTATAATTGTAATTTGTTAATAAAACACCATATTATCTTTGTTTTGTAAAGAATGTGAAACTGCATAAAACCAACATCGGACTGGCAAACAATAGAACAGTTATTATATGTGAAGCCACATCTGTTAGTATTAATGTGGAGTTCGTCTGTATATTTCTTTATGGGCCATTCCCATCTGTACCGGGTCGGCCCGGGCCGGGTAGCCCCAGTCGGCCCCAGCCTGGCCCGGTTGATTCCACACATCCTTGTCTTAAGCCCATGTGGGCTGATTCTACCCACCAATCAGAGGCTTGCTCTAATGGAAGGTGTGAATTTGCTGTCAGCAGTGGGTGTGTTGGTCCTGGTCGGCCTGAAGCAGATCCCCTCCAGAAGAGGGCTGAGAATGAGCCTTGGTTGGCCTGGAAAAATACCAGGCCAACCAGATATATAAACAACCTACGCTACCCGGCCCGGGCCGACCCGGTACAGATGGGAATGGCCCATAAGTTGTTATCTTGGTGTCTTTCAATAAAGTTCTTATATTTTATTTTGCCCCATTTCATCAACATCAAGAGCTTTTGGGGGTCGCCGTTTATCGTTTGCTTTTATTTTACATTTCCTTTAGAAATTCAAACATATTGTGATGAACAGAAGACGGGAGCTGCCGAGCTCCGAGGGTGTGGTGATTGGACACCAGCTGGTCCTCGTTATGGATAACGAGGCCAGGGAGGATAAAAGGGTGACAGACCTACTGAGAGGTGTGCGTGGTCGACCTGTCATTGTGGCATCGGACTTTGGGGGGTGGGGTCGTTCGCAGCTGGTTAGGGCTGCCGGCGACGAAGATAGCTAAACAGGTGGTTAGAGTTCCAGCGTCAGGAGGGAAGGCTGGTCGCCTTCTTTAGACAGCTAGGGCTGGGCTTAGGTGGTGCCAAGACCACGCCGACATCTGCCACTACAGACTCTGGCAGTGGATTTACTCGTGGATTTACCCGCCGTCCTCGCAAGCTACATCCCGGGGCGTTGGACGGTGCTGGAAGCTCAGACCCCGGGGAGGGGGGTCACACCATCCGTGACAGCTAAGTACCGCTGCTTGTGTGTCTTATGCCGGACTGTGATTTTAGGAGTGGAGACTTTGGCCACAGTATTTTAGTATAGGTTTTATGATTGGGGTTGATTTGTGTGTTTTAATAGATTGTATAATAAAGTATATCCTTTTATAAATCAGTGCCTATTGGTGGTGTGTTCAGGTTCTGACTGGAGGGCAAGATATTCTGCCCGTGCTGCCCACAGCTACTTTTATTACACTGGTGTCAGAAGTGGGATTTAGCAATCCAAAATGTCAGAACCTGGAAATAACACACCTCCTCCGTCAGGACTAGCTGAAAATCAGCCCGTAAGCACAGCAGCTCGGCCGATTTTTATGCCGGAGAGCTTTTCCGGTGTTGGCCGGGAATGGACAGACATGGGTTGAACAATTTGAAATGGCAGCCGATATAAATAACTCGGATGAGCCCCTTAAGTTGAAGTTTTTGTGTCTCCTGTTGTCTGACAAAGCTCGAGAGTTTTATAATGGCTTGTCAGGGAGTGTTAAAGCAAATTATGCCATGTTGAAGGAGCAAATGGGCAAGTGTTTGGATCCGTGCGACAGCGCCGACTGGAATAGAGCTGTTTTCTCCGCTCGACGTAGATGGCATAATGAAAGTGTCCGAGAATTTGGGATGGCATTACGACGATCTGCTGTTAAAGCTTACCCGACAGCGGATCCCAACACACAAGATTTGTTGGCTAAAGATCAGTTCATAGCTCATGTGGGGAACGGGGACATGAGAGTGTGTTTACGGAGTGCCAAACCCGTGTCACTTGAGGAGGCCATCAACCTAGCGGCGGAGCTTGAGCTCATTAAAGGTTTGGAGACCAGCTCAGTATCTGACACAAGAGTGAGAGGAATAACCGAGAAAGATGTTGATGATGGACGCATTGCTTCGCTAGTGGGGGTGGTTGAGAGCTTGAGGCAGGAGGTGAAATCCCTCCAGAATGTGGTGCACACACTTTCTGTACCTGTTGCATCGGGTCCCCACCATGACACTCAGAATACGAACTCGCAGCCTAGGCAAGAATATTCCCGGAAAAAGGGAAATGGGAGGTTGGGAGGCTGCTGGGAGTGTGGCTGTAACCGGCATTTACGCCGGGACTGCCCTTACGTGCAGGGAAACTAGAGGGGGCGTGTACAGTGGGTCAAATGCCCGCCCCCCTCTCTGTTGTTGAGACCCCTGTAAGAAGAGGAAATGCTGGGTACTTGAAAGCCAGGATAGGTGGGTGTGACTGCCAGGTTCTGGTAGATACAGGAGCCTCCCGTTCTGTGATTTCGCGAAAGCTGTGGTTGTCCTTCACTCGAGGGGTGGGTGAACTAACTCCATATGAGGGTAATGTTACAGCTGCGAATGGGGGAGGAATGTGCATTATGGGATGTTGGCAAACAACGTGTCAGCTGGGCCCCCTGGCTTTCGTGGCGGAATTCTTGGTATCAGACATCCCCTCAGATGAGGTGTTATTAGGATTTGATTTTCTGTCCAAACATGGCATGGTGGTCGATCTGGGCACCAAAACGTGTAAGATCATGGGCAGAGTGTTCCCACTGCTCGACTTGGAACCTTCTTTAAACCCACAGGTCGTAGTGGTGCAAACGGATACCGTAGTTCCGCCGCGGAGTGAAGCTATAATACCAGGACAAATTAAGGATAGCTGGGGTGATTATGCCCAGGGGTTGCTAGAGCCGTCTGAACACCTTTCTAAGCGCTGTGACTTGCTTGTGGCGAGAGTTATTTGCAAGGTTGACCAGGGCCAACTCCCAGTGCGGGTGATAAATGTGAGCGATGACCCACTAATGTTAAAAGGCGGCATGAGAGTGGGCACGCTTTTCACTGATGTTGAGGTGGAAGACGAGCGGACAGATCGGGTGAATAAGGAGCAAGGCTCTCAGCCTTGGACCGTAGAATCTTTGATGACCCAGTTTAAAGTTGGTGAGAAAGGATTCGCCCCTGCGGAAGTTGCAGCAGTTAGACAGCTGCTCCTACAAAATCTGTCTCTATTTAGTCAAGGGGAAACAGACTTAGGAAGAACACAGATCATCTCGCATGAAATTGACACTGGGGAGGCTGCACCCATAAAAATGCACCCCCGAAGGATTCCACTTCATTTACAACAGGAAGTGACAGATAATTTGAGAGACATGTTGGCAAATGACATTATTCGCCCCTCATGTAGTCCGTGGGCTGCCCCAGTGGTTCTGGTTAAAAAGAAAGGGGGTGGATATAGGTTTTGTGTGGACTATAGGAAACTGAATGAGGTCACTAGAAAAGACGCTTATCCTCTGCCCCGAATCGATGATGCTTTGGACAGCTTGGTGCATGCCAAATGGTTTTCAACCTTAGACTTGGCTAGTGGTTATTGGCAGGTAGAAGTAGACCCTAGGGACCGGCACAAGACTGCTTTTATCACTCGCCAGGGATTGTTTGAATTTAATGTGCTCAGTTTTGGGCTGTGTAACGCCCCTGGTACATTTCAGCGCCTTATGGACCTGATTCTGGCTGATTTGCAGTGGACTGTTTGTCTAGTTTACCTGGATGACATTATCGTGTTCGGGCGTGATTTCCAGGAGCACCTAGCACGTCTGGGCACGGTTTTGGAGAAGTTGAGGCAGTCTAATCTAAAAGTAAAGCCTTCTAAGTGTGACCTTTTTTCTACACAGGTCCATTATCTAGGTCACGTGATTTCTGCTGAAGGTGTTAAACCAGATCCAGCTAAAATAGAGGCAGTAAGAGAGTGGCCCATCCCAGCTAATCAGACGGAGGTCCAGAGCTTTTTGGGCCTGGCGTCTTATTATAGACGGTTCGTGAAAGGCTTTGCGGACATTGCTCGCCCATTGCACCGGTTACAAGAAAGAGGAAAACGCTTTCAGTGGAGTGAAGAGTGTCAGGAGTCCTTTGAGAAACTTAAAACCTGTTTAATAACTGCTCCTGTATTGACCTACCCCGACCCCAAGAAATCATTTATTTTAGATACAGACGCTAGCGAGGTGGGGATTGGGGCTGTATTATCACAGGTTGAAGGGGAAACAGAGCAGGTTATAGCTTATGCTAGTAGGGCTCTTACAAGGCAGGAACGCAAATATGCCACGACAAAGAAGGAGCTCTTGAGTCTGGTTACATTTACTAAGCACTTCAAACATTATTTGTTGGGTAAAGAATTTGTGCTAAGGACAGACCACAACTCTCTACGATGGCTGCATAACTTCCAGGGTTTGGAGGGACAACTGGCTAGATGGGTAGAGCAGCTGGCCAATTTCCAATACAAAATCATTCATCGGCCAGGTAGACTGCATAGTAACGCGGATGCCCTTTCCAGACTGCCAAATTGGAAACCAGAAAACTTATCAGCTGACCAGGGAGCGCAGCCCTTGGGAGCTGAGTCGAGGGTGTGCTCGCTTCAAGAGGGAGGCTCAGGAGCTAGCCGGACTTCAGAGATGGACGAACTCAGCCAGGCGCAGCTAGATGATCCAGTGCTGAAGCGAATCAGGGATGCCAAACAGGGTGTAGAGAGTATAGGCCCCGATGACCCAGAACTAAAACCATTTGCACCTGTGTGGGATCAACTCGAAATTCGGGGTTCCCAGTTGGTGCGGGTAGCACCAGCGAATTCTGATGCTGCGCAGGTGATCCAGGTTGTTTTGCCTCGGGCTTTGGTGCCAGGGGTCCTGAAGCAGTTGCATAATGCCCCCACAGGAGGCCATCTGGGGGTTCAAAAACTGCAGGGCAAGATAAAAGACCGTTTTTATTGGCCCGATTGGTTTAAGGACGTAAGGGCTTGGGTTCGTGAGTGTGCGGACTGTGGCTCTGTTAAAATGCATGGAGGAACGCCACGTGCACCCTTGGAGCAGTCACTGACCTCTAGGCCCTTCGAGCGCATTGCCGTGGATATTTTGGGTCCACTTCCTGAAACTGGACTGAGAAATAAATACATCATGGTAGTAGGTGACTATTTCTCTAAATGGACAGAAGCCTTCCCACTCCCTAATCAAGAGGCTAAAACAATTGCGAGGGTGCTGACCGAGGAATGGGTGTGTCGGTTTGGGGTACCGCGGAGCCTCCATTCCGACCAGGGGAGGAATTTCGAGTCAAAACTGTTCCGAGAGCTATGTGAACTTTTGCAGATCCACAAAACGAGGACAACCCCCTATCACCCCCAGTCAGACGGATTAGTGGAGAGGTTTAATCGAACGTTGCTGACTATGTTGACCTTCTTTGTGGAAGACAACCAGCTTAACTGGGACACCTTGCTGCCATATGTAATGTTGGCTTATAGAAGTAGTGTTCATGCTAGCACATCTGTCACCCCTTATAAGGTTCTGTTTGGGCGGGAGATCGTACTGCCTGTTGACGTTATGCTGGGCCTGGATCAGGGAGAACTCTTTGCCTCGGTAGATGAGTATGTGACAGGTTTGCAGGAAACCTTAACTTCGGTGGTAGAGGCAGTGAAACGTCATCAGAGCAGAGCCGCGGCGCAACAAAAGAGGGCCTATGATTTTAGGGCCACCTACCAGTTCTACTCGGAAGGTGAATTGGTGTGGGTCCGAAATAAGCTGAGGAGGCGAGGGGTGTGTCCCAAGCTGCAGAGACGATATAAAGGACCGTTTAGGGTCCTGGAGCGACTAACAGATGTGCTATACAGGCTTATACCCGTTGAGGGGGGTCCTGAGAAGGTGATTCATTTCAACCGACTTAAGCCGTGCACTTCTCTTTCAGCAGTCGAAGCACCGCTGGCTGTGGGGTCCCGAGAGCGAGCGAGGCAGAGTCTGCGTCAGCAGGATGCCACCTGGGAGGACACCAGCAGGATTCATCATTGGTCTGCAGAGACGAGCAGGTCTGGCGGCGCAAGTGACCCGGCCCCATCACGTGGAGAGGCTGCTCGAGGAGGTGCTGTTGCAGGAGGACCGGAAGGACGTCCCCCTGGGGAGATCGATAGACTTGGAGCTGCGGAACAGCGGGTGGTTCATCAGCCAGATGCCACCTGGGAGGACATCGGCAGGAGCGCTCAACGGTCTTCGGAGACGAAGGGCTCCGGTGATTCAAACAACCCCGCCCCATTGCATGGAGAGGCTGCTCGAGGGGGTGTGGTTGGAGGAGGATCGGGAGGACGTATCCCTGGGACGGTCGAGGAACCTAGAGCTGTGGAGCAACGCGTGGTTCGCCAGAGGAAGCCCCCTGCTTGGTATAAGGATTATCAGGTGGAAATCTAGGACTCGAGGGCGAGTCCTTCAGGACAAAGAGGGGGAGAGTGTGATGAACAGAAGACGGGAGCTGCCGAGCTCCGAGGGTGTGGTGATTGGACACCAGCTGGTCCTCGTTATGGATAACGAGGCCAGGGAGGATAAAAGGGTGACAGACCTACTGAGAGGTGTGCGTGGTCGACCTGTCATTGTGGCATCGGACTTTGGGGGGTGGGGTCGTTCGCAGCTGGTTAGGGCTGCCGGCGACGAAGATAGCTAAACAGGTGGTTAGAGTTCCAGCGTCAGGAGGGAAGGCTGGTCGCCTTCTTTAGACAGCTAGGGCTGGGCTTAGGTGGTGCCAAGACCACGCCGACATCTGCCGCTACGGACTCTGGCAGTGGATTTACTTGTGGATTTACCCGCCGTCCTCGCAAGCTACATCCCGGGGCGTTGGACGGTGCTGGAAGCTCAGACCCCGGGGAGGGGGGTCACACCATCCGTGACAGCTAAGTACCGCTGCTTGTGTGTCTTATGCCGGACTGTGATTTTAGGAGTGGAGACTTTGGCCACAGTATTTTAGTATAGGTTTTATGATTGGGGTTGATTTGTGTGTTTTAATAGATTGTATAATAAAGTATATCCTTTTATAAATCAGTGCCTATTGGTGGTGTGTTCAGGTTCTGACTGGAGGGCAAGATATTCTGCCCGTGCTGCCCACGGCTACTTTTATTACAATATTTTCTCCAAAAAGTATTGATTTTTGGACAACAGGACTACAACCGCTAAGACTACGACCGCAAATTTGTTCTGACCAATCAAAATCATAACGTGATAACGTCACTTCCGTAAGCTTCATGTTCAGCCAATCAACTACTTTGACGTCATCGGCAGTCGAAGGACCCCGAGCCGATCCTGCACCGACACCGGCTCAGTGCGGTGACTTCTGTTTTAGCCAGACTCTGTCCTATTTCTGCGTTCTGATCCAGAACCACAACCAAACAGGTTAAGGAAGGTTCTGACCTGATAAACATCTGTATCTAGGGGCTCTGGGAGTTTGAAGAGCTGCAGCAGGATTCAAACATCGCTCTGCTGCACCGAGAAGTTCTGAGGAAGCAGAACCTGTATCTGATTCAAGAGAACAAACAACTGGAGCTCCTGCTGAGTTGTGGCACAGCAGACCTCACAGCATGCTCCGTCATGCTGCAGGTGACCCGTGCCCCCACCTCCACTGGCTGCAGACAGGTGCTTCATAGTCATGGAAGGAGCTGTCCTAAACCGCCTGTAGGACCAGAGGAGACAGAGTTGGGATCCAAACCTCATCAAATAATCTAACCGACACTTCGTTGTCATTTGTTCAAGAAGTGGTCCGGTCGTTTTCTTCCATAGTGAAATCCAGTCTCAGCTGGATCAGGTCTGTTGGTGTGGAGGTGAGAGGCGCCCCCTGGTGGTCAAACACACGATGTTATCTTTAGTTCATCACTTTGTTCTTGCAGTAAAACGTGATAAATGTTATGGATTATAAAAGTATGATCATAAGTTCAACATAAATGTATTGATGCTAATTCATTAAAAATGTATCAGAAATAAAAGAGGAAGTGGGCGTCGACCTCGCGTCTCTGCTGTCATTGGTCAACTTTGCTGCCGGGAAAACGGTTTACTAGAGATCTAGAGCAGTGGTTCACAAGCTGGGGTCTGTGAACCCCCGAGGGGTCCCCTCAATTTCCTCAGTGCTCAAGCTTCTGCAGTGTCACAGACGCATCTCTCCATCTGCAATATGAGTCTGACCGCTGCACAGAGCCTTCTCCAGCACGTCCCAGAGGTTCTCCATGGGGTAAGGTCCGTGTGAAAATGACGTCTCATGCTCCCTGAACCACTCGTTCACTATTTGAGCCCGATGAATCCTGCCATTGTCATCTTGGAAAATGGCTGTGCCGTCAGAGGAGACGGAATAACCTGGTCATTCAGGTGCTGAAAGCAGAAATAAAGCATAGCTGGCATATAGGTCAGACTCTTATTTTGAAAATTTTCACTATTTTTAAATAACCTTTCCTGTGAACTGGAAGTAACTTTAGCCAAATGACACGACCACTCCTCTCCCAACCACAGCGAGACGAAGCAGGAAAACTCACGTCTGAAGACCTTTAAGGTGTCTTCACATTCACTTAAATGTGAAATGATCCATCAGTGAAAGATTAGTGTGTGTGTGTGTGTCCAGGGATAGAGGTGTGACTTGGTTCTGAGACTGGGTCAGAACTCGGGTTGGGTCCAGATGAAGCAGAAAGACAAACATGTGCCACATGCCAAAGAGCTCAGCCTTGTTCTATTTCTGCTGCAGAACTCCGTCACATCTTTATAAAGCAGCTGAACACACGTCCGTCTCTGGAATGCTGCTGGAATTATCCAGGGTGTGTGTGTGTGTGTGTGTGTGCCGGGGGGTATAAAAGCAGCATGGGTCAGGTCTTCAGCCAGACTCAGGAGCAGCAGATCAAACCCACAGGATGTTGTGTCCCAGCGTCTTCCAGCCGTCCTCGTCCTCCATGATGCCCTTCCTGGACCTCCACTGGCCTGTCCGCAGCCTCTGGCCCGATACCCGACCCCTCTTCTTCCAGATCGAGCAGGAGATGATCCAACACGTGCAGCTGATGAGGCAGAACATGGAGTACATGGAGAGGCTGCATCAGAAGATCTTTGAGGAGATTGACCACAGCTCCTCCCTCCCTGGAGACCTTAGGCCCATCGCCTTCCAGGACCTGGGGGGCGGAGGAGGCAGCTTCGCTCTGAGCCTGGACACCTCCGAGTTCTCCCCTGAGGAGCTATCGGTCAAACAGGTGGGCAGGAAGCTGAGGGTGAGCGGCAGGACAGAGAAGAAGCAGGAGGATGGGAAGGGCTCCTACTTCTACAGGTGTCAGGAGTTCAGACAGGAGTTGGACCTGCCAGATGACGTTGACCCCCAGACCGTCACCTGCTCTCTGGTGGATGGCCGGCTGCAGATTCAGGCTCCCCGAGAGAAACGGCATAGCGACGGGAAGGAGAGGATCGTTCCCATAAATGTCAGCTCAGCTCCGGCCATCACGTCCTCGTCCTCCAGCGGCGGGACGGCAGGGAGCAGCCCACCTCCAGAGAAAGACCTGGCTGAGAAAAACTGAGAGGAGCGAAGCGTCTCGCTTGATAACAAGTCTGTCATCGACTGCTTCTGTCTGAGGACTTGTGTTTGTGATTTAACTCATTATGACATCATCTTTTGATGACCCGCCTGAGTCCTGCTGCTGGTCTCAGACCCCCCCCCCCCCCCCCCCCCCCACCGTTTAAATTAGCCTCCTCCTCTTCTTTCACTTTTAATTTGTGAAATTAGTTTTATCACATCAACCATCTTGGATCCGACATTCTGGATGAGCCAGGAAACGAAAACTACAAAAAACCTTTGATGAATCCTGGAAAAGTAGAATTCCCAGTAAAGAACATTCCAGACCCAGCAGGATAAACATTTCAGGATTATTATAAAATGCTTTAGTGAGAATACAAGAAGAGCCAGAGCACCCACCAACAATAAAACAGCAGCTGTACACGTTTCATTGTAAAATATTTCTCAATAAACGTATTTATTCACAAACTGCTTCACATGGTCATGTGGACGTCGTCTCTTTTTAAATCACATACAATACAAAACATCTGTAAAAGACAGAAGATGTCCAAGACTGTCCTCTGGACCAGAAACCGTCTGTGGGGACGCCTCGCCTCGCCGAGACATCAGATAAGGAGCAGAAATGACAAACAGAAGGTCGAGGAGTTCACCAGCTACAGAACAAACTTCCTGTTCCTCTCCTGGAGACGCGTGGAGACACATCTCCATGCTGCAGGACAGGCTGGAGTCCTCTAGAGCAACACACACGTGTGTGTAACAGCATTAGGGGGACCTTAAGGGTGTGTTTGTGTGTGAGACGCTTCAGCTGTTCTAAAGAGTGTTTCTGTGTACTAATAACTTAGTATAACTTATAAATGTGAACAGCCTTAGTTGAGAGAAACAGCACAGATGTCCTTACAGAAGACCAGATCAGAACCGTTCTGTGTCTGGTTCTGTTCCAGTCGTGGCGTTTTCAGGTGTTATCCTGCTGGAGGACCAGATACTGGCAGGTCCAGAACAGAACCAAGTCCTCTCCATGTCCCTCAGCAGGTCCAGAGTTCTCAGCATGGACTCTGGTTCTGGAGTCAAGCCGTCGTGGATCCACATCAGCTCCAGATGTTTGGTCCTTTTCTAACATCTGTCTGATCTACCCGAGGCTGAATGTCCTCCGTGTGAGGGTCTCTGACGTCCCGAGACCATACATGCCAGAATTAGGGGGGTTTGGTAATTTAGCCGTAATACTTGTAAAAGGTACAGAATGCGTTTAAAAAGCATTTCCCAGCCTAAATGTATGTAAAACAGTTCAAAACCAAATTTTTATGTTGTGTTATTATTTTTCCAAACAAACAAAATGTTTCTTATAAAATAAGTAAAGTTGAACATAGTTTAAATAATATACAAGCTAAATGTGATGACACAAAAGTCTAAATATTTTGCCTTGGCCCACAAAATGTCTTGATACGGCCCTGGATGGGGCGGAGTTTTAATGGTGATCTGAATATATAAATATTGCATGCTTATATATTATTGCTTTATGAAGTAAAAACGAGTAGAGCTGCGGCACTCAACAGGTGGTCCTCTTTGTGGCCCCCGAACCCCCCCCCCCAGGTCAGACACCTCCTGTAACCCTGCTGTAGAGGGATGGATCCACCTTTCCAAGCACTTTGTTTTGTTTTCTTGATTTTATTTGACTATTCTCCTTTTTCCTGCATCTCCTCCCAACTCTCCAGAAAAACTGCTGCCTGGCTTCTGCTTTTTCCACCTCATGAGCTAATTTTGAACTTAGCAGATCAAAGGGATCTACCAACTGCAACATTAGCGGAGTGTGTGCAGCACGCGCGGCCGCGCCAGTGACAGGAACTCACTGGAGCACAGGTGAGGAGCGCATCAGGCACAAATAGAAGACACAAAGTACCTGTGAGCAGTCATGAATGATCGTGTTAATTAGTGTTGCTGTGGCCGAGCGCACGACGCAGCTGCCTGCAGAGTGCATGAATAATCAGCAGCTCTCTGGATGAGAGAATCCTCCATGCTGCGAGTCCATTAAAATAACGTAATGTAGGTAGAAAGCGGATGTTTTTCACGAGTGTAAAGACTGGTTTAGCAACAATACTGTCTGGGGAAATCGAGAGAAATGCGTGAGAATGGTGGCCTGAGTAAAAACCGGAAGGGTTGGCTAGGGATGGGTACCTTTGACATTTGAATCGATCCGGTACTAATTCGCGGTACCTACGAAACGATACCGGTACTTAACGGTACCAATTTTCGATACTTTTGAGTGTTTATTATTTCAATTCTCTTTTATAATTAAATATATATTTTTCTCAATATATAACAATATTTGATAAATATCACGATAAATAACGTTCAACTGTTTGTATTTTAACATCGTCCTTGTAGTTTTATAAGCTGATAATTAAACTGAAGCAAACATCTTTACTGTGAACTAAATTTACTGTGTATCTTCATTCCTTTTGCCGTGTTTTTTCATTTGATTTTTCCTATTGGGAAGTTAGAATTTCCGAGGAGAAAGCGAACGCACCATTAGCTGATAACAATGGTAGCAATGGAAGCTAACATACCAAGCTAACGTTATCTTGAACAGTTTATTTAGCTGCTGGAACAGATTAAAACGATGATACCTCACACTTAGATCGTTGTCACTGGTTTCATCTTCACCCGTCACATTTAGTAAAGTGAAGCCAAACTTTAGAGCGCGTTCATGTTCTTCTAGTCAGGAATTTGGAGTTTCGAGGAGAAAGCGAACGCACCATTAGCTAAACAGAAGCTAACATATCAAGCTAATTATATTTACCTACCGGAGCAGATTAAGATGAGGATGTCTCACTTAGATCGTTGTCGCTGGTTTCATCATCACCCAGTTACCCATCACATTTAGTGAAGTGGACCCAAGCTTTAGCGTGCGTTCTTTCTACCGTGCTGCTCTGTTTACAACTGGTTCGCAGTGAGCGACGACATAACGCTCTTGCGCACGCGCAGCTGTCTAGGCAAGTTCTCGTTATGATGGACGGGTACCGAAAGATGCACCGTTTGAAATGACGTGAATCTGTGCTCGGTCGGTACCGTGGAATTCGGTCGGTACCTTAAAAAGTACCGAATTCGGTACCCATCCCTAGGGTTGGCAGGTATGCCTGGGACAACTGCTTCCTCTGCATTCTGTGTCCAGTGTTACACACCGATACAATCAGCTCTGTGACTACCTCGCCTCCTTTGAAAGGTGAACCAACTGATGACCAAATAAGTTTAACTGGTCTCATCTGGAGTCCAGGCAAGTGAAATTTATTTTTCTTCTTTTAAAGCACACTTGTATTAATTTGACCTTTTTCTCATTGTTTCAATGATCTTTGATGGTTTTTCCTCCTTTCATGGAACAATTACCAACTTCTTCCAGGGATTCTTTCAAAGTAAGAGTATAGTGAGAAGACTCCAAGACTAGCTGTTAGCTCATCAGTCCTGAAGGAAGTTGGCTCCATTTCTCTGAACAGAGGCTGTTCGGGAAGCTATTTCCCCGAGTAAAACGGGCATTTTTTATAACTATTTCACAGAAACACACTTTGTCTGTTTTAGGGGACACTGTCCATGTGTCCTTTAGGGTTTGTGGGGACATGGGACACTTGGGAGACACAGAATCTGCCGTCTTTGAGACCTTTAGTTGTTTTTCAGCATTTTACAGTTTTTATAAATGGCGTCTGGAACTGCGATGATGTCAGAGAATTTCAACATTGTTATGCTAATTAGCATAAACGACCCAAAGACCAGTCTAATGACTTTCAGCTCTTGGTGTTGTTTTTGCTTCCACTTCTCTGTAATAATTCCCTAAAATCAGACCAGAGTCCTCTCCGGTCTCTGCAGGAGTCCGGTCACAGGAGCAGAGGAGTGTTCCCAAGACAAGAGTCCCGGGAGTTTCAGGGAGGGGGAAAACTGACCAAAGGATACGATGGCTTGTTCATCTCAGGCGTATCTCCAGACAAGTCCAGCCCTTCCAGGACTTTGCTCAGGCGTCAGCATTTCATGACTGCTTAGGCAGGAGTTTTGTCACGGATCAGTGCCTAAAAGTGTCCGCGGTAACATTAAACGCATTGTTATAATTCAGCTGATTGTTTTAATCGTGCAGCGCTTTGGTCAGCATGGCTGTGTTGAAAGTGCTTAACAAATGAAAGGATGTGGTATTCTGTTTAATCACGACATTTTAATTCCTTCAGGGGACGGAGAGCTGCTGTGTGATGTAAAATGTTGCCTTCAATGACCAGAAGAAGCTCAGGTTTTTACAGTGCTATGTGAGACAACAAGCACCGTGAATTACATCATTTGGGGGAATTTTGATGCATTATTCAGTGTTGGAGTTTAGTAACAGCGGCTTTAAAGCAGCTAAATCAACCCAAATAAATCAAGCCTGGAGGAGTTCTGCTGTGTGGTAGAGTTGTTAATGCTAATGGTTAGCTTCTACTAGCATAGACGTTCTCTGCTGTTTTCTGGACGCTAAACCAACAACAGCTTGCCCGTCGCGAGTCTAGATGGGTGAGTCCATGAATGTTTGTGATAATGTGACGTAGATCTGCTAGGATTTTCTAATCCTAGAGTTTCACCCATGGACGTAATTTTGGGGGGGGGGGACAGGGGGGACATGTCCCCCCCACTTTTTCCAAAGTCAAGTTTTGACCCCTGCACTTTTTACCATCCAAAAACAATATTACGCTATATTAAATTGACACTGGTTGATTTGTAGGAAGGACCAAGTGGAAAGCAACCGTTTGTGTTGAAGCCGGTTTCCCATTAGAACATATTGTAAAGATACCCCCCCTCCCCCTCCTCCCCTGTGTCCCCCCCACTTCTAAAGTGAAAATTACGTCCTTGGTTTCACCGTCTGTTTTCTGTCAGAAGCTACTGCAGGAGATAGGTGTAGAGACTACCTTCATGTTCAGCCTGCATGAAACACTCAGAGTGACCCGTTAGAATCAGAAATAATCATAAAAAATGGTTTTCAGTGAACCTGGTCTTTAATTCTTTAACAAAGTTTTTCAGTTTAAATTCCTCCAGCTGTAGCAAACAGCCACACTAACTGTCTCCCTACACTGTGATCCTCTACAGAGACGCCCTTCATCCTAAACGACTCTGGTTGGAATCAGGGACAGACGTCTTCATCAGGACATATCTGGAGAAGATGTCTTAGCTTGAGTGAAAAACTGAAACCGAGATGATATTCATTAAACTCGGACATCAGGTGGATCTGAGGGACTTTTCCTGGTTTGCGTTTTAATCAGATGAAGGTGGAACAAAAACCCGCCTGCCAACGTTCTGGGAGACCCTTTAAACCACGGCTGGACGTCACGCTTCATACACAGAAAGGAGGTGGAACATCATCAGAACATAGAAATAAAAGCTCTCAAAAGTTTGTACCGTTCCTTTAAACGTGCCGAGCCCGAAGCCGGATTTAAGCAGTCAGGAATGAAGCGGACACGAGGCGGGAAAAGACCTGAAACTTTACCATTTATCCTCACAATTCCAACACGCGCCAAGAGCAGCGCAGCCCCACAAAGGCAGACGGAGGAACTGCACACTGATGATTCCATCTGAAGTCACACCAGCGCCCTCTGGACCATTGGTTCGTTGGTGGTTCCTGCTCCTCCAACACGACGTTTTCAGACCCAAGCAGGCTAACGTTTATAAAACGTTAGCCTACATTTCATTAGCTAACGCTAAAGCTAAAGTAAGGTTTGATGTTTGCAGGGCATTGAAGCTCCAGAACACTCCGACAGCTGCTGGTAATTTTACACAAGTATAGAAGTCAAATACAAGCACGTGGATGCGAGCGGCTCTGGAGCTCCCATCACAACCCACCTGTTCCAGACGTGGGCTTTCTGTTCATCTCAGACTAGAAACCAAACTTTAGATGTTTTAGAAACAAAACCAATTTAAAGTAGAGATGTTCTGGGGTCGAGGACCGATTTATCTAAAATAAAGAGTTAATAGGGAGCCTAAGTGTCGGCTCATGGGTCCCTGACCGGGGCTAAAACAGCTTTCTGGCCCACTTAGCCTCACGCCCTGGATCACACACAATTTAAATGAAAACTAATGGTGGGTGTTTCGACCACGCCAGTCACGTGCTTTGAAATGAATCCACTTGTGAAAATCGCATATGTGACGTCACAGAATCTCCTCCCCCCTAGCGTAGCTGCTACGTACCACGTGACCAGATTTATGGTGGTTTCCTCCTGGAGGAAGGATTTGAAGTTCGCTGAACCTACAGCCCTTTTCCCTGTTTTTCTCCGTGTCTGGTTCGATGACGTCACTTTCCCGAAGTGCATTTGTAGTCCTGGACTTATTTTCACACAAAACCTAAAATATTGTTCCCAAGTTCCAAAATAAGCGCGTTCTTGGTATCAAAATGCGTCTTTAAAATTCACGAGCATCATGTGTGAAATCCATGGCGCAGAACAAGCGGAATTAGAAAATAGCGTTTTCAGCCCCGTTGACTTGCGTCATTTTCTCGTTCTTCTGGGGACCCGTGGTCCGAAAGTAGGTGGGCAGGATTTAGGCTCCCTATAGTTCCTCAGATAGCCCTTGTTCCACCCCTTGGTGATGAAGTGGAACATCGCACACCAGCTCCGCCTCCTCCATGTTTTGTAGGCTTTCAATCAGCCAAACTTAATCAGGTTTCATTAAGTAATTAGAAAAGTGCTTCAGATTATCAGCAGCTGATCTGGACTCAAACTCAGATTAAATTAATAAGAAATAAGTAAAAAATAAATAAATAAAAGATAAAGATGGCCATTGCAATCCCCTTTTAGGGAAAAGTGAAGCCATGATGGAACCTGGAGCCTGAGACTTCAGTATGTGAGACTCCGCCTCTCCCAGCTGAAAGCCCCGCCTCCTCATCTACACAACATTAATGTGTTTTAAACATAAATAACAAATTCCAGCTCAATGCCTGAGGAACTGTATACTTTAAAGTCAGGAAAACGTCCCACTCGGTTTTGTGGAGTGGGTGGGGTTTTAAACCTTACTGGAGCCAGCCACTAGGGGGCACTTGCTTGTTTTAACTTTATACCTCAGCATTTAATCACAATTCATGTTAACTGTCTCAACACAAAACTCACATGACCAAGGGATGTCTGAGCTCACGTACACACACACACACACACACACACACACACACACACACACACACACACACACACACACACACACACACACACACACACACACAGTGTTTTCAGTGAACACGTCCAACAGGAATGTGCAAAAGCTCAGGCAGACAACAGCATCAGTGGCTTCGTGCCCTCAGTAAAGACTTACAGGCGCCTCGACAGGACAGCAGCGACCCTGAACACATCACCACGACCAGGTCACATGACTCAGGCAGGAAGTGTTTGTTTTAAGGCTGTGCAGGTAAAACTAAACATCTTCCAGATTCAGGCAAAATGTGAGACCTTCAGAATAAAAGTTAAAGAGCAAGTTACCCTCAAATCCACCCTTTTTGCTGATAAACTGTAAATGAGTGCTGTGGACACATGTGCTCAATATTTTGGCACTTTAGTGCATTTTAGTTCAAATTTAAACATTCTGCCTAAAACTGTCAAGTGTCGCGCCGTCTTCAGGTAAAAACGCTGCACAAAGACGCGGCCCGCGGGCGGCCATTGAGCACCGCTGCATTAATGAGAGTGGCTACACAGGGAGCTCCACGGACCGGAGGCACTGAAGATTGGCACCAGTTCTTTATCAAGCGCCGTGGCTGTTTACAGCATTGTGGAGTTCTTCACAACAGACATACGACGAGGAACGGCTCCACGGCACAAACCCAGCCATGGTTTTGATAACTTTACGTACTACTGATCTTAAAATATACTAATAAATAGTGCGCTTAACCATTTTTAATGAATTAGTCTCACAAAACACGACGGCAAGTCTGATCACGTAAAAACAAAAGAGTCCCGCGTGACGCTGTGGCTTTGGTGCGACTTTCGAAGAAGCGCACGGCGGCGTGGCGCGTCCTGTCACCAGCTGACATCTCAAAACTGCGGCGCATCTATCTCCGGTGTGCCCCAGGCTTCAGAGGTACACTATGACGTTAGCTGGTACATTATAATGTCACAATGCCGTTGTGAGCCTGTGTGCATTTGTTAGCGGCTCCGCCCTCTCTGTCTGCCAGGCAACAGCATTTGAAGGAAGTGGGAGTGGAGTCAGACCCTGGTAGGGGGTGACTTGCTCTTTAAGACATTTAAAACTATTGAAACTTTGGGAGAATTTAAGGAAAGCCAAACAAAGATTGGTTTCAGCTAAAATTCCCTTTTACCTGTAACAAGGTAAACCAGATCAGCTGGTCTGGGTCTTAGGATGTCGTTAACAACAGAATAAAATCAGCTCTGATGCTTTAAACAGGAAACACATCCAGGCTGGAATACTTGGTGCAACCTGCCTCTCGTGCATGAACGTTAGTGACAGTGTGACGTAGATCTGTCAGGCTTTCCTATCCCAGAGTTTCTGTTTTCTATCAGAAGCTACTGCAGGAGATAGATGTAGGAGACTATTTTTATGTTCAGCCTGCATGAAACACTCAGAGTGACCCGTCAGAATCAGAGATAATCATTAAAAATGGTTTTCCAGTGAAGTTGATCACTTGTTCAGCACCAACAGTCTGTTAAATGTGATAATAATTATAGTTGTTGTTCTGAAGGGTTCAGGAGGCTTGGATCCAGACTAAGCCGTTCTGGTTCAGCCTGAACACCGCCTGGGTCCTGGTCTGAGTATCTGGACAGGTCCTGGTACGAGTGGTGATGTGGTTTCAGGTCGGCTGCGGAGCGGCACCTGGACTGGAGCATACCTGTGCAGGTGAGGCCGCAGGCAGCCACATCATAACTGTCGTTCATCAGCTCTTCCAAGGGGACAAGATGTTGTTCCTGAGAGCTTTGCTGATTGGTGGAGAGGAGTGCCGGGATGATGGCAATCCGGGAAGGAGGGTGGGGTCAGATCCTTTCAAAATAAAACTCAATAAAAAAAACAGAACAGCCTTCACTTACAGACCGGTCAGTTTTCTTCTATCAAGTTCAGGTCCAGTTCTGTACAGTCCCTCTCAAACACCGCCTGCTGCGCGGCCTCACGTTCACCCGCCTCCTCCTCCTCTTCATCCTCCTCGTCCTCACGACACTCCTCATCGCTCTCGCTCAGCGGTCCGATGCTGGTCCGGCCCAGGCACTCGGCTGGCGAACAGGAGCGCCGGAAGTCCCCCATGAAGGTCTCCAGACCCATACAGATGTCCCCACCGCAGGACAACCTCCCAGGTCCACGTTCCAGGCACTGCGGGTCGATGCTGCGTGTCTGTAAGAACAGAGTCCATCAGAGACCTGAACCAAGACCTGGACCTGAACCAGGACCCAGGCCTGAACCAAGACCTGGACCTGAACCAGGACCCAGACCTGAACCAAGACCTGGACCTGAACCAGGACCCAGGCCTGAACCAAGACCCAGACCTGAACCAGGACCCAGACCTGAACCAGGACCCAGACCTGAACCAAGACCTGGACCTGGACCAAGACCTGGACCTGAACCAGGACCCAGGCCTGAACCAAGACCTGGACCTGAACCAGGACCCAGACTTGAACCAGGACCCAGACCTGAACCAAGACCTGGACCTGGACCAAGACCCGGACCTGAAGCAGGACCCAGACTTGAACCAGGACCCAGACCTGAACCAAGACTGGGACCTGAAGCAAGACCTGGACCTGAACCAAGACCTAGACCTGAACCAGGACCTGGACCTGAACCAGGACCCAGGCCTGAACCAAGACCTGGACCTGAACCAGGACCCAGACCTGAACCAGGACCCAGGCCTGAACCAAGACCTGGACCTGAACCAGGACCCGGACCTGAACCAGGACCCAGACCTGAACCAAGACCTGGACCTGGACCAAGACCTGGACCTGAACCAGGACCCAGACTTGAACCAGGACCCAGACCTGAACCAAGACTGGGACCTGAAGCAAGACCTGGACCTGAACCAAGACCTAGACCTGGACCAAGACCTGGACCTGAACCAGGACCCAGGCCTGAACCAAGACCTGGACCTGAACCAGGACCCAGACCTGAACCAGGACCCAGACCTGAACCAGGACCCAGACCTGAACCAAGACCTGGACCTGGACCAAGACCTGGACCTGGACCAAGACCTGGACCTGAACCAGGACCCAGGCCTGAACCAAGACCTGGACCTGAACCAGGACCCAGACTTGAACCAGGACCCAGACCTGAACCAAGACCTGGACCTGGACCAAGACCCGGACCTGAAGCAGGACCCAGACTTGAACCAGGACCCAGACCTGAACCAAGACTGGGACCTGAAGCAAGACCTGGACCTGAACCAAGACCTAGACCTGAACCAGGACCTGGACCTGAACCAGGACCTGGACCTGAACCAAGACCTGGACCTGAACCAGGACCCAGACCTGAACCAGGACCCAGGCCTGAACCAAGACCTGGACCTGAACCAGGACCCGGACCTGAACCAGGACCCAGACCTGAACCAAGACCTGGACCTGAACCAGGACCCAGACTTGAACCAGGACCCAGACCTGAACCAAGACCCAGACCTGAACCAAGACCCAGACCTGAACCAAGACCTGGACCTGAACCAGGACCCAGACTTGAACCAGGACCCAGACCTGAACCAGGACCCAGACTTGAACCAGGACCCAGACCTGAACCAGGACCCAGACCTGGACCAAGACCTGGACCTGGACCAAGACCTGGACCTGGACCAAGACCTGGACCTGAACCAGGACCCAGACTTGAACCAGGACCCAGACCTGGACTAGGACCCAGACCTGAACCAAGACCTGGACCTGGACCAAGACCTGGCCCTGAACCAGGACCCAGACTTGAACCAGGACCCAGACCTGAACCAGGACCCAGACCTGAACCAAGACCTGGACCTGGACCAAGACCTGGACCTGAAGCAGGACCCAGACTTGAACCAGGACCCAGACCTGAACCAAGACTGGGACCTGAAGCAAGACCTGGACCTGAACCAGGACCCAGACTTGAACCAGGACCCAGACCTGAACCAAGACCTGGACCTGAACCAGGACCCAGACCAGAATCATTTGGTTGTTTGCCACAAGGACGTCAGGTAAATAATCGGTACCTGGGTCATCTTGGTGAAGTCGAGGACGGGTCGGGCGCAGGGCCGGTCGGGGTCACGGCGCCGCTTCAAACCAGGTTTCAGCAGGAGCAGGTCGCAGGGCTGCGAGTGGCAGCGCGGCAACTGTGGAGGGAGGTTTCGGCGGAGAGATGATGGCGTGCTGCACGCAGAGGAGGGGGAGGCAGGTACCGCCACCCCCCCAGCAGCTCCGCCTGTGGGGGTGCAGCCCTGCAGACGCGGCGTTGCCTGGCTCGGCACTGGGGTCGGTGGCAAGATGGTGGAGGCTGCCGAGTCTCTGATGAGCACCGGAGAAAGGGAAAAGCGCCTCTGGGGGGGTGGAGGAGGGTGCAGAGGGGAGGGGGATGATGAGCAGGAAGAAGGAGAGGGGAAGAAGCAGCAGCAGGCTCCGCCCCCCGCTGCTGCCTCGCTGGGGTCCCAGGGGAAGCTCCAAGGCAGCGGCGAGTCTGGAGACAATGCAAGGCTGAAAAAGGTGGGACTGGAGGAGGAATGCAGTGATGAGTTCAGAGACGAGCTGGGGGCCCGAAGAGGACAGGCTCCGGCCCCTGATGGACCCATTCCTATGGTCCCTCCCCCCATGGCCCCACCCGCAGCCCCTCCACCAGTGCCTCCGTGGCACTGCTGGCGACTGACAGGTGTCCAGACCCGTGAAGCGCTTGGCCTCCATGTGTATCGGCAGCGCGACAGGTCCTCTGGTACCGACAGCGAACGGCAGTGACGCTTGGGGGGCGGGGGAGGAGGGGGGTGGGGTCCGAGCCCTGGGGGGGGCGGTCCGGCCGCTCCAGGAAGGGACAGGTCAGATGCTGAGGTACTGGGCGCCAGGAGCCGGTGATGCTGGGGCTGAGAGGAGGTCCCGTCCAGGGAGTCAGCTCCATCCTGAAGGTGGGCATCCGGGGGCACCAGGGGGATGGGGCCAGGGGGGAAACTAGAGCTCAGTAACCCCCCCTGCAGGCCAGATTTGGAGGGAGGACAGAGCTGCCAGTAGCTGCTCTCTGAGAACAAAGAAACCATCAGAGGTTAAAAGACAAACACCAGAATCTTCTGGGTCTTCTCACTCACCAGGCATCAAGCCATCTGGGGGCCAGCACTCTGCCAGGGTTCTAGGGTCCAGCAGGGACTGGGGGGGAGAGGGGCAGAGACAGAACCCAACAGACTCTTAGACGCAAACCGCTGTGTGTGTGTGTGTGTGTGTGTGCGTGCGTGCGTGCGTGCGTGCGTGCGTGCGTGTGTGTGTGTGTGAGAGAGAGAGAGAGAGAGATCCAGGGGGGCACTCACCAGGTAGAAGTCCCCTGGTGGAGCCGGGTCACCTTCCAGAATCTGGTTCCTCAGGTTCTCCAGCAGCAGAGTGACCACAACATGGTCGCAGGGGAGGAGGGGGGAGACAGGGGAGGGAGGGGGGAGGGAGTGGGATGGGGAGAAAATAGGAAAGAGAGAGGGGAAAGAGGGAGGGGGGAACCTTGTCTGTCTGTTTGTCCGTCTGATTGGTCTGTGACAGGATGATAAATGGGGAGGGGGTGGGGCTGCAACTCCACCTCCTTACCACCTGCGGGCCATGTAGCCCTGCCCACTACCACGATGACATCCTCAGTCAGCTGTTGCCCTGCCAACGTACCTGGATAGGAGACAACACCAGTGTCTTAGGTAAAGCAGAACTTGCTCTGGACACAACTAAAACAGGAAGTAACGCGTCTGGGGGCGGCAGTTTCAGAGGCAAACTGACTCGAGCGAGTGATCGGTATGAGGATGGCTCTGTTATTAATGATGAATCTATATGTTTAACGACCCATGAGGTGCATGAAGCTACTCACAAACTAGCTGATAATATGGTAAATGGCCTGTATTTGATATAGCGCCTGCTAGAGTCCTGGAACCCCCCAAGGCGCTTTACAACACAATCAGTCATTCACCCATTCACACACTGGTGGGGATAAACTACAATGTAGCCACAGCTGCCCTGGGGCGCACTGACAGAGGCGAGGCTGCCGAGCACTGGCGCCACCGGTCCCTCTGACCACCACCAGCAGGCAACGTGGGTTAAGTGTCTTGCCCAAGGACACAACGACAGCGACAGACTGAGCGGGGCTCGAACCTGCAACCTTCCGATTACGGGGCGAGCACTTAACTCCTGTGCCACCGTCGCCCCATAATAAGGCTTGTGGTCTGGATCACATTAGTGCAGAACATTTGAAATATGCTAGCCAAAGTCTAGCCCCCCGTTTAGCTCTTTGTTTTACAAGGTTTGTGATTCATGGCATACTACCAGACTCTTCGTCTTCGTCTTCTTCGTCTTCGTCTTCCTCCGCTTATCCGGGTCCGGGTCGCGGGGGCAGCATCCCAATTAGGGAGCTCCAGGCCGTCCTCTCCCCGGCCTTGTCCACCAGCTCCTCCGGCAGGACCCCAAGGCGTTCCCGGACCAGATTGGAGATGTAACCTCTCCAACGTGCCCTGGGTCGACCCGGGGGCCTTCTGCCGGCAGGACATGCCCGAAACACCTCCCCGGGGAGGCGTCCAGGAGGCATCCTGACCAGATCCCCAAACCACCTCAACTGGCTCCTTTCGATCCGGAGGAGCAGCGGTTCTACTCCGAGTCCCTCCCGAATGTCCGAGCTCCTCACCCTGTCTCTAAGGCTGAGCCCGGCCACCCTACGGAGGAAACTCATTTCGGCCGCTTGTATCCGCGATCTCGTTCTTTCGGTCATTACCCAAAGCTCAAGACCATAGGTGAGGATTGGGATGTAGATCGACCGGTAAATCGAGAGCCTGGCTTTCTGGCTCAGCTCCTCCCTCTTCCCCACGACAGATCGGCTCAGCGTCCGCATCACTGCAGACGCCGAACCAATCCGCCTGTCGATCTCCCGATCCCTCCTACCCTCACTCGTGAACAAGACCCCGAGATACTTAAACTCCTCCACTTGAGGTAGGACCTCTCCCCCGACCCGGAGGTGGCAAGCCACCCTTTTCCGGTCGAGAACCATGGTCTCAGATTTGGAGGTGCTGATCCTCATCCCAGCCGCTTCACATTCGGCCGCGAACCTACCCAGCAAGAGCTGAAGGTCAGAGCTGGATGAAGCTAGGAGGACCACATCATCCGCAAAAAGCAGAGACGAGATTCTCCTGCCACCAAACTCGACACACTCCACACCACGGCTGCGTCTAGAAATTCTGTCCATAAAAGTGATGAACAGAACCGGTGACAAAGGGCAGCCCTGGCGGAGTCCAACCCTCACTGGGAACAGGTCCGACTTACTACCGGCTATGCGGACCAAACTCACGCTCCTCTGGTAAAGGGACTGAATGGCCCTTAACAGAAAGCCACCCACCCCATACTCCTGGAGCGTCCCCCACAGGGTGCCCAAAACATTCACCCCTCTCAGAGTTGTCACGAGACTCAATGATGGCAATTCTACTTGTCCCAGTTATTAAGAACACATCTGGGAAGGTGACCAGTATGGATAATTATAGGCCGATTGCACTAGCCAGTGTTTTGTCTAAAGTTTTAGAAAGAATCATATTTGATAGAATCACTGTGTACCTCAGTTCCTTGGATAATCAGTTTGGCTTTAGGCCAAAACATGGTACTGACGTGTGTATATACCAAGCCCCCACAGTGCGGGACAGAAATTGAGGCCAATGCGGAAGTACCAAAAATTGCAGTTCCACCCTCATCCACTAGGGGCTGGTGGCAGAAGCGAGCAAATCCTCATTGACTCCCATGTTAAAAATACCAATTTCACAGCAGAAATAAACATGTTTACAGCCTGGTACCAGAACATGTTTTAGGTTTAATAGATCTAGTTTACACTCGTGACAACTCTGAGGGGGGTGAATGTTTTGTGACTCTTCTGTTTAAGTGTATTAAATACCTAAAAATCTGAATAATTAATGAGCATCAGACCCACGTGACTGCAGAGCTAGCTCCAGGGAAAGGCCTCAGCCTGAGCCTCGCCTGAAAACTGTTCCGTCATTTTCAGTCTCTCAACTTAGACCATTAGTTGCAGCGTGTGTGTATTCTTTTTTGGATAGTATTTGTGCAATTGTTGGACAAAATGACTTGATGTGGTATTAATTGCACTAATAGAGCGTCCAAGGAGTTTCCACTTCATTTTCTTCGGTAAGTAAAGTTATATTTATGTATTTTAGGTCACTGCCGAGCTGAGCTTAGATTTTAACATGTACTGTTTAACCATGAAATTTAAATGTAATAGGGTAAAACCCAGTGCATTTAACATAATGCTACACTTTAGAAAATGGGTTGAAAAATAACATGTTGGTGGAGCTGGGTTCCCACTATCGGCTTGTGGAGCTCTCGGGAGACCTCTGTGTTCCACCCGGTTTTACCCAGCGGTCAGCCCGGCGTATCTCTGACTCAGAAGCTCTGGTGTTGTGCACAGTTAACTCCAGTTGTAGCTAGGTTGTTACCTCCGTTAGCTTAGCTCCCACCTCTGCGTTAGCTTCGGGTTAGCTTGTAGCTAGTTCGACAGAGTGTCGTCAGTTGATCCCAGCCTTACAGCCCCACCCTCAGCTCCTCCTCTCTTCCCTTTTGTGGAATTGTCTGGGCTTGACGGAACCTGTGACACGGTCAAAATGGCGGTGGTGGCCACCTCCCATTTAGCCTCAAAAACGTGTTATTGGAGCTTATGGAAACCCATTGTCCATATATGTATATGTTGAAGGTTTATACGCACTTAAAGAAATGGTAAACTGGTATAGAAATAGAAATTCGTCTGTCCTTGTGTGTTTTATTGATGCCTCTAAGGCTTTTGATCGTGTAAACCACAGAAAACTTATTAAGATAAAGCAACGGGGGGTCCCTGGGTTTATTGTGAGAATCCTGTCTTACTGGTATGCTCATCAGATGATGCAGGTTAAATGGGGTGGCAGCATCTCTGCACCATTTGGCGTTAGTAATGGTGGTAGGCAGGGTGGAATTTTGTCTCCTGTTTTATTTAATCTGTATGTTGATGATCTGTCAGTGCAGCTGAGAGCCTGTAACACGGGACGTTTGATGGGTACAACTCTGATCAACCATCTGATGGATGCTGATGACCTGGTGGTCTTCAGTCCAAGTAGTGCTGGTTTACAGCAGCTCCTAAATATCTGCTCTGAATATGGTGTGCCGTACGAAAGTGCTATCTTGATATGTAGAACCAAGCAGGATAAAAGGCGAAACTTTCCTGTGTTCAAACTGTCTAATAGTGATCTTAATGTGTGTGAGAAGGTGAAATACCTCGGCCACTTGTAACTGATCAAATGTGTGATGATGCTGACATCCACAGACGGTGCTGTAGCTCGTAAGCTTAGTTTGTGTTCACCTCCAGTTAAGGTGGCTTTATTGAAAGCATATTGTACTCTGCTCTACACAGCCCAGCTGTGGTCATCCTGCAACCAAAGCAGCACGAATAAGCTGCAGGTTGCACACAACGATGCCTTAAGGATCAGACTCAGAATACCCAGAGGGGGCAGTGCCAGTCAGATGTTCGTAACAGCAGGCATTTGTACTTTTAAAGCTCGTTTAAGAAAACTAATATTCACTCTTAGAGAACGACTGGTTAGCTCTGCCAGCAGCATCATTTTAGCAATCACTGATCCTGCTGTGAGCAGTTGTCGCCGTTTGTCCGGTAGAAGGAAACACTGGCTGAAGTGTTTGTGTGGTTACTCTTAATCGTGTGGAACACCTTTGTGGTAAGTTTTTAAAATGGAGTTAGATTTTTATTTTATTTTTATGCTTTTATCTTTTTTATTTGTTTTTACCTATTTTGTTTCATTGTTTTTAATGTTTTGTTGTTATATATATATATATATATATATGTGTGTGTGTATTTTTTTTTTTAATCTGGACCTAAGAGCCTGGCAACAAAGATGATCTATCTGTATCAGATTCCAGCTCCTCTGATGGGACTTCTCCGACTCACTTGGCGCCGGGAACACGTCAGGTTGTTTACTGCTGCTTGGAAACTGCGGACCGAAAAATAAACAACAAACAAACAGATTTTTGAGTTCCTGACGAGATCAAGCAGCCAGGAAAGGTCGCTTCTGGAGGCGAACCGGACCTGATGACAGCTGAACGGAGGTCTTTGAACGCCTCAAGGATTTTCCTCCCAGAATCTCCAGATTCCGGTTTTTTTTTTTTCCAGAGAAATCGGTACCGGCCTCGGAACCACAACTGGTTCTGTTTAAACAACTGCCAGAACTGAGGCCAAAACATGTTTAAATGGGACCACCTTCCAGAATCAGGACCGGTTCCGGGGTTCCGTGGACCACCAGGTACCCTGCTTCAGGCAAGGGCCACAGCCAGGGGACCCGGCGGAACCAGTCCGGTCAGGGCTTAGGAGACCCAGTCTGAACCAGGTCCAGGTGCCGGTTCGGACCGAGGCTCATCTGAAGCCGGTCTCAGGCCGCTGCTGTTAGCTCGAGGCTAACCATCCCATTATTTTCAATGAAGAATGCTAACAGGGTACGGTTCCGAAATGAATAAAGCGATGTTAGATCCGAACCGTTCGAACCACATCCGAGCCGCTTATACGGGTTTCATCTCAAGGTCAGCGCCGTCCGGTTAGCCTCCCGGTTCCGCCAAACAAGCCGCAGACAGGGTTCGGTTTCCCGCACCGCCTCGCAGGTCCGTCCGGGCCGGTCCGGTTCGCGGGTCTGCGCCGGGGCAGCAGGCGGTGGCTAACGGACCTGCTAGGCTAGCATCAACAGCAGCCTGGAGAACCAGGGCCCAGAGGTTCGGCTGGATGGACCGTGAGGCCCGCTCAGACCCAGAGCCGTCCGGGCCATTTCAGCTTGCTGTTGGTTCCGGTTCGGCCGGTCCGTGGGCTCCCCGAGCAGCGCGAGGAGAGAAAAACACTGCGGGATGCTGAAGACGGATCCGAACCCTCACCGAACCAAAACACGCGGTTCTGAGTCCAGACGGTGGGCTTACCTCAGGAGGAGGCGGCTCGGTGTATTGACCCAGTATTGCAGACACCACCGAACCAAACCGAACTCACCGCGATGAATCAAAGCGCGGATTCAAGCAGACGGAGCGGAGACCTCAGGGACCGGGACCGACCCGCACATCGGTTCTGATTATTCCAACATAATAACCCAAAGCCAGCGCGCACACGCCCGTGAGCGGCGCGGGCACTCATAAATAACGTTCACGGTACCGGTAGGGGGGGGGGGGGGGGGGGGGGGGGGGGGCATCACCTCAGCACCTGCTCCTATTCTGGGTTCGTCCTCCTTCACGGAACCTCCGCAGTCCCGAACCAGAACCAGCACCAGCCCCACATCAGAGCAGAATCCCACACAGAAATTAAACAGAACCGAGCAGACACAACAAGCTCCGCCGCGCAGGTGATCATGGGAGCTGTAGTTTCTGGTCTGACAGCCGCTTGTTTACAGCAGCGCGTCTCATCCGGGTACCTGCACGGCTGCAGCTTCAGGGCTGCAGCTTCAGGGCTGCAGCTTCAGGGCTGCAGACAGCCAACAAAACCCACAGAACCCGCAAAATATACAGAACCTTTCCTTTGGGTTTAGTCTAAACTTGTGTTGAAGGGACAAGTTTTTCTGTGGGAAAATAGTCTCTCAGGATCCTGTAATTATAAATGATAACGCACATTTAATTTCTGATCTTAAACGGTTTATTTAGACAAATGTCGTTTCTTATAACACTTTGTTTTCATGGCTCATGAACTCATTAGCTAAATAAACGATTCTAGATTAGAAATTAAATGCAAGTCTATCTTTTATAATTACAGGATCCTGAGATTCTTTATTTTCCCACAGAAAAACTTGTCCCTTCAACACAAGTTTAGAGTAAATCCAAAGGAAAGTCAGATTTCCCAGCTTCCACCCAGCATTCAAATGCATCATGTACCCAAGTCAGGTTAGAAACAAGTCTCTAAAGGATTTTTGTACTTGTAAAGTGATTCGTGTGTACCAGGTGATGTATTCAATGGTTTTTATGCGTAGCAGCATGAAAATGTAAACAAGTTACAAATAAAGAGTTTCTCACACACACATTCCTTTTGAGACGTTTTTCTGCCCTTAGATTAACACCTTCTATGAGGATATGAGGTATGAGAAATTATCTTAAAGGAATTTTCATTTTTAACAAAGACAAAAGGACATTTAACGTATCTTCGTGCTGCTGTTTGTCAGTTTTGTTTTTCCAAGCGCCCGTGTTTCCCAAATATTTTTTAATATTCATTTTGATTCTTACATGAAATTCATTTGTATGATTTGTGTTTTACAAACTCAGTCCCCTGTTTCCATCCAGTTTTGGGGATTAAAGATCAGATCAGCCTTTAATTTTAGAATACTTTATTTAAATCTTTATTATCAAGTTTGATTTATTTCAAGTAGCACAAAGTAAAACAAACACACACAAAGCAACAGCCGGCTCTCTCCACTGATCAGGAGCTTTGTTTTTAAGAAAAAACATGGCGGCATGTGAGGAGGAGAAGCCGATCCAGACAGCAGAGCACCAACGTGATGGTGGACCAGAGTGAAGCTTCAGGAACAGTTGACATTTTTCCCCTCAGTGCAGACTTACAGGTGACAAGTGCAGTTTGACAGAAAAAAGTGCAATCAACAATATCAGTGTCCAGCTGTCCAACCTTCCTCCTGTCCTCGGGATGGACACAAAGGATGAAGGGAGCTCAGTCCAGGGATGGACCACATCCCTGCAGTCAATCTTAAAAGACAAAACCGGATCCTCAAAAACTACAAAACACTTTCAGGATGAACACGAAGTCAGAGGGTCCCCAGGTGGGTTCAGTAGTCCCCTTCAGATCAGTACGGATTCCAGAACAGCTGATCCGAAAACGCCGGAACCTGCTGGTCATCAGAGCCAAAGTCTGTTAAAGAGAGGAGCTGGGTCAGAGGTCACGTGTTCAGCAACAGATCCTAGAGGAGTACTAAACGGTTTGTCATCTCCGAGTTTAGCTCAAAGCTTCCTGAACAGCCTCTGTTCAGAGAAATGGTGAATATCCAGAGGCTGATGAACAGCTGGTTTGCGTTTAGACCGATTTACACTTTTCCGTCTGCGTGGGTACAGAGACACGTAGACATGACCAACTTTAGCTACAGCTTGTGATTGGCCAGGATGCAGCTTACTTTAAGAGAAACTATGCAAGTTTTTTATATTTCGAAATCTTTCTTGAGCCAGCCCTCATCGCCCCCTGTGGCCAGATTATCCCACTTGCCAGTTTTTCCAGGACTTGGAAAAAAAATTGAACATAGCTGTCGCTGCGTCTGGTTTCAGCTCATCGCTTGCACGTTTTAGATCATGAACACAGCCGATTTGTTTAAGGAGGAATCACTGTTAGCTGAAACGTCTCCCAGCGTTCCGAAGTGTCGGTTTAAAGACGAACGCACAACGAAAAGATGGCTTTGGTTTCGCTTCTACAAACGGAAACTAGGGGGTAATACAAGCAAGCAAAACTGCCTAGTCTCCCTCTAAATTTGTCATCAGCACAGCCATTGGCCTCCAAAAAACCCCAAAAAGATTTAGCAGCTGGGATGGAACGGATCGAAGCCTCAGAAAGGTCACCTGTGGCTGAAGGAACAAACATTTTATTTGTGGATGGAATTTAAGAAATGTGGGTTTAGAGGTAGTGATCGCACGAAGAGGGGGAGGACAACCAGGGACTAATTTGCCCGTGTTAAATACAAAATAGTAAATGAACGTAAAGGACAGCAGCAGCTCAGAAGGTTGCAGGTTCGATCCCGGCTGTAACCAGAGAATGCTGCTTTTTAGTGATGTGTCGGTCACGAACGAACCGGCTCTAAGAGCCGGCTCTTTGAAGTGAACGACGGGAGCCGGCTCGTCATTGGGAGCCGTCCCCTCCCCCCTCCCCTTTTGCTTTGGTGAAAGCCACGGGTGATTGGTCAGCATGTGTAACTGCGTGTCCAGACTGTCCACACACAGAGCAGTAGGGGCGGGGAAGAGGGAGGATAAGACTCAGACACACAGCAGAGCACATGCGGGCGGAGGCAGACGAGAGGGAATGAGGAGGAGGAAAAAGGCGAGCGAGAGAGAGGAGAGTGCGACGAAGACGGTGAGAAAATGAGCGCCAGCAGTCGGAAAGTGGAGATTTCTGAAAGTGTTCAGTTATTAAATCCATAGAAATGATAAATATTTGATATAGCATTTTTTTTACATTAGTAAATCATTTTACACATAGTTTTGCATTATTTTGGTTATAAATGTACTCTACGCAACAGAAAATCTGAGGAGCCACTTGGGAGCCGAAAGAGCCGGCTCTTTTTGGTGAGCTGAGCCAAAAGAACCGGCTCTCTAAAAAGAGCCGGAATTCCCATCACTACTGCTTTTGTGTCTTTGGGCAAGACACTTAACCTGCCTTGCCTGCTGGTGGCCGGAGGGACTGGTGGCAGTGCATCCCAGGGCAGCTGTGGCTACATCGTAGCTCATCACCACCAGCGTGTGAATGGCTGTGATGGGAAACCTTGGGGGGGGGGGGGGGGGCTATTTCCTATCGTGGACCAGATACATGACTAACGGTGGCAGGATGCCCCACAAAGCGCGGCGCCCTCTGGCAGGGAATTGCTTTCCAACACTCAAGCTGATGAAATCTAACAGTAAACATCTCCGCCAGTGCGTGTGCGCGACTCGAGCTGATGGAAGTGTAAACCAGGAAGTGTAAACCAGGCTTTGGATCAGAGTGTTGCTGTTGTCCAAGTTCAGCTACTATCGTATTGGTTAAGATGAGGCCGTTTCAGGAACACTGGCAGATGATCTAATGCTTTAACATACAGGAAGTGTCTGGATATTCAGTCGTAGCCAACTTAAGACAAATGAAACACACTAGCCGTTAGCTTATCAATCCTGAGGGATGTAAAACATTTGCTCCAAACAACTTCAGAATGTTCCAACTGTCCCCTTAAGAATCTCCATGATGCCCTCAAGTGGTCAAAAGCAGCTACTACTCCCGTTAAAACAAATGTTCAATTCATCTAAAGTTTAATTGTTTGAATAAACGTCTACTCGCCCTCACCTGGAGCGCGGTCGGTCTCCATCAGGGAGCAGAGCCAGTCGTTCATGTCATCTTCAGGAGTCACCTGACACCTGTGGGAGGAGCTTAAGCCAGGAGGAGACCGAAGAGGCCGGCGGCTCGTTTCTAGACGCTGAAACAGTATAGATAAACCAGGTAAGGGGTTTTACAAGCAGAAAACCTTTAAATGTCAAGTCCTGACTTCGTCTAACGAGGAGAGTCAAGCATGGGTCCAACCAATGTTCACTTTCATCTAAAGTGCTGATCGTTCAGACCGATTTTAAACGTTTAACTGTGTCCCTCATTACCGGGGACAGCGAGACAGTCCAAACTCCGGGAATCTCCACTGGCCGAGGAGACACCGAGGATGCTTCGGAGGCTGCAGGAGTCTCCTTTTCTCTCTGCTCGTCTCCATCCTCACACAGGTCCGACGTCATCTTTGCCAGCTGGCTCTGCCTGAAATAAAAATCAGGAACGTTAGATGAATCCAGTCTATTCAACACGGACGGAGGATGAAGGTTTGGGATTCAAAAAGTGTATGACTCGATCCAGGCCCCCCAGGGGGGCCACTAGAGGGCAGCATAAACAGGAAGTAGAGCTTTTTAGAGTCCATGGCCCAATCCCAATACACACATTGTGCCTTTCAGCAGAGTGCACTTGGACAAAGTGTGCAGTAAGGCCTCGAGTGCGTGGTGCACAAGTGTGCAAATAATTGCTGAACAGAGACGGGGAGCATCGAGTCGCTGACCACAACGCATGCTGGGATGCTGGTCACTGAAGTTTTTTTAAAAGCTTTAAAACTTGACAACTTTCAAAACAATTGAAATTTAAAGTCATTGCTGCTTTGTCTAAGACATCCAGAGCATCAAGTAGTCGTCCTAAAATGAACCAATTTCATTAAAAAAAAAAAATTTCCAGAAAAGGCACTTGAGCGAGTCCACTTCACCCAAGTCTGCAACCATTGTAGACTTGGGTGGAGGGGCGTGTAGTTCCACACCTGAGAATCGGGACACGCCGCACTGCACCCCTGGTGCGGATCGTGCAGTTGAAGGGTGGAAGTGCAAGTATTGGGATTGGGCCCATGTTGGTCGGAAACCACAAGACCGACTGGGGTCTACCTACAGCTGCTCCACCGGGTCAGGTGTGTCCAAGGCATCTGATTGGTCGCTGACAGGATGGTCGCTGACAGGAGGGTCCCACAGGTGCAGCGCTCGTCTCCACAGACGCACCTGCATGTCCCAGGAACGCCGGCTGTACTTCCTGTACTTGTTAGGAGTAGATGGGTGGAGCTTTGAGTCCCGCAGGTGTCTAAGGATAAAAATCAGGGACACCGAGTATTGGGGGCGGGGCTCATTTCAGGTGTGGTGTCCGAGCATTCTCTCACTTTGGGACTTGCTGCAGGTAGTTCTGATAGCCGCTGGTGTTCTTGCCATACTGGATCTGTTTCTGCCGCCTCTTCAGAACCGCGGCATTGGTCTCCGTGTTGGCCGGGTCCGGCAGACGGCCATAGCAGCGGCTGTAGGAGGATCTGCAGGACACAAGGTCAAAATGTCCTCAAGCAATCTGTCTGCAGCAGTCTAGAATCAAGTGTTGGAGCAGGAAACGCATTTTTATCCTTCGTTTCTCCAGACAGACCCGAAACCAGCTCAGTCCAGACCGACCTGGATTACATCACTCACTAGCAGGTGCAGCCCCAGAGAGACACGTCACTCACCTCCTGTCCACGTCATCCGTCCCCACGGCCACACTGCTGGTGGACACTTTGAGGATGCATCGCTCCAAGATGGACGGCCTGCACAGAGAGACCCAAACCAGACAGAAAAAATAAGTTTCATCCAGTTTAATCCACGCAATTTGGGAAAGTTCAGATGAGCAGTCTAGACTCCTGATTTAGACCAAATAATGGTGAAAGCCCATGTGATGCACGGATGAGATGTTGGGACCTGCGAGGTTTGCTGCCGGCTGCTCGTTCTCGTCCTCTCAGGCTGCTGGCAGCAGGAGGAGACAGGGTGGGAGAGACGCTACTGGAAGAGAGAATCCTTAATCAAGTTTGTCTAATAATCAAAACATTTAAGACACAAGTCCAGACACTTCAGTCGTTCCAGCTCCAATTCCCACGGGTTGGATCCAGGACAGGAAGCAAATCCAAACTGCTTCTCTCTGGACCTCACCGTCTTGCTGCACCTCCTACCTGACTAGGCTGTCGTAGACGGAGCTGCAGCCAGGGAGGAGCCATGGTTCAGGGGAGGAGCATCCCAAGGAGGTGGGCCGCAGGTTGGGAACGCCGCCCCACATTGCTTCAGACCAAGCCTTCGCACAAGCACACGACCAGGGGCTGAAACAGAAGCTGACAGCGGAGGTCACAGGTCAACAACTGGTCTTACTGGTGCCCGTCTGTGCTCCATCACACAATCATCCTCATGCTGGTTTAATTACATCCAAACACCAAAGGGCATCAGGATGCACGTAAACAGTAAAGGTAGCATTTGGGTTTCAGTCATGTGGCTTTAGTCCAGTTTGACCCAAACGACTGGAGCGAGTTAAATTAAACCAGCACGAAGATCCTACTTGTTCCCACCTAAAACTACCGCTTCCTTCCCTTAATGGTCCTGAAAATCCACAAAGACCTATGGGAAATACTCTAAAGCATTTCCTTTTTTCTGTTGATTTGTTCTGAGAAGTTTTGGGAAACGTTTGACTTTCATTTAGGAATTTCAGCGCAGAAACCAGGAATGGCTGCTGTGATGGTGGCGTTTCCTTCTCCTGGATGATGGGATCAACTGTGAAACCTGCATGTTCTGCTGAGAACTGCAGGAAAAAGAAGAATGTCAGAATTCCCCCGTTTAGATCCAAGGACCATGACCTCATGGTTCAAATGAGGAATTCAGTTGATTTCTCTCGAGGTCCCATTTGTCTGGAAGACAAAACTCAGGGGAAAATCTCCCAAAGACGGCTTTCATTGAACTTCAGTTCAATTCAAAAATACTTTATTAATCCCAGAGGGAAATTGATTGAGCTTGAGAGAAAGGTGGAACCATCAGAAAGAAGAACCAGCTGGTTGTGCTCTGAAGATCCACTCAAACCCTCCATAAACAGAGCACCACTGCTTAATGCAGCAAAACTGCTTCAGAGTTTAGGTTTGAGTTTAAATAAGAACTTGTAAATCTGAGCCCGACACGAACCTGTTCAGGTTCTGGTTCCTACCTGGAGGACAGCAGCGGGTTCTGGGCTGCAGGTTCTACTCCGCTGGTGGACATTTCTGCTCTTTGAGCTCGGCTCCTGAGGTTCCGACTGGCACGCGCTCGTTCCGCTTTCACAGCCTTTTAATGAGCCGCACCTGTGCCCAGTGGGCGGGGTTTAACAGACCCGTGCACCTGTCTCCACCTCGACCTCTTGGACAAGTAACCACTGAACAGAAACGCGTCAGTCTGCGCCAGACTACGTTTAGGAATACTTTCTCTTTGAAATATAACATTTGGAAACGTTTATGACGCAACAGACAGACGTCACAGCAGCAGACCGTTTCACCGCATTCATTAAATGTTTCTTAATCTTGAACTTCTACGAAACTTGGAGCTTGTTACATGAAAACGTTACTGATGGAGAGCTTTGAGTGGGCCGGTACGCTCCGGTACCTCTCAGCTAACGGGACCACCGCCGTGAGGCCACGCCCCTTGATGATCAGGGCCGATGATAAAAATGCATCGACCCTCACCTCTCTCTGATAATGTCCTTGGATTTTTATATATATATGGAGGAAAAAGAACACAGCATTGAGAGAAAACCCCTGCTACCTACAGTAAAACATGGTGGTGGTTCCATCATGCTGTGGGCTGTGGCCAGTGCAGGGACTGGGAAATTTGTTAAAATTGAGGGACGCATGTGTAACGTACCAAAGAGTCAATTTTTCACCATCTAATTGACCACAAGATAACCTTTCATTTGCAGACATAAACCCGTTATCTATCTGGCCTCCAAATCCAGAAAGTTCTGCTCAGTTCTCTTTTACATACAAGAAAACAGAACTGTCAAGGTCTCCTGCAAAGGTCTTGCAGTCTCTGTGTAAAAGCCAGACTGCTGCTTCCTCACTCTGAAAGCTGGATCTTTCACCAAGACAACGACCCCAAACACTGCTCGATGTCTACTAAGGCATTCATGCAGAGGAACAAGTAAGTCATTCTGGAACTGAACATCGGTGGTTTGAGTTAAGGAGAGCTGTCCATGCTCATAAGTCATCAAACCTGAATGGACTAGAGATGTTTTGTAAAGAAGAGTGATCCAAAATATCTTCAACCACAATCCAGACTCTCATTGGAAGCTATAGGAAGCATTTAGAGGCTGTTGTTTCTGCAAAACATCTACTAAATTTTAAGTTTATTTAGTGTTTGTGGTGCCCAATTTCATGCACCTGCCTAATTTTGCAACAATTATTGCCCATTTTCCTATTTGACATATTTAGCAACTACTTTTAAATGATAAATGATCCACACGTGTATAGCGCCTCTCAGAGTAAGGACTCCAAAGCGCTTTACACTACAGTGTATCATTCATCCATTCACACACACATTCAGATGCTGATGGTGATGAGCTATGATGTAGCCACAGCTGCCCTGGGGTGCACTGACAGAGGTGAGGCTATTGAGCACAGGTGCCACCGGTCCCTCCGACCACCACCAGCAAGCAAGTAGGGTTAAGTGTCTTGCCCAAGGACACAACAGCAAAGTTCTCTGTCCGGAGCCAGGATCGAACCTGCAACCTTCTGATTACTGGACAACCCGCTCAACCTCCTGAGCTGCTGCTGTCCATTGTTTATCGTAACAACCAACATTTTATACAGGAAAATCCTCCAGATTAACAAGTCTGGCCAACCTTTTGCATCCCAGTATATGATGGTGTTTTAGACATTTTCATTTCAATAAAAAAATGAAAATAATATAAATATAAATTAAAATAATACAAACGAGTCGTTTAAATTTAATTTAAAACATATTTAATATTTTCTACTCAAAGCAGTCTACCGTTGTTGCGTTACATCTAACCGAAAATGAAGTAAACAAATATGTGAAAATAATTATAAAGACACAAATTCAAATCAGTGCTGAAGGACTCTTTTCATCATTTATCTTTTGATCAATAATCAGGCTTCTAGTGTTTTACTCTGTGGTGTCATCGCTGATATGGGCTAACCTTTCAGTATGTTTTTAGTCAGGGCCTTGTATTTACTCTATTATGTTTCTTTTAAATCTTTTAATTCTTTTGACTAATCATTCCTTCCATCTTTTACCTAAATTTTTATTTTGTTGTTTGTTATTTTGGAGTTTTCTTCTTTTTTCCCCCAGCACTTTGGTCAGCTGTCCTGCTGTATTAAATGTGCTTTATAAACAAACCTGGTATGGTAGAAATGTTCGGAATATTGTTTTCCTAAATCTGCAGAATTTTTGTTTCATTTTGTTTTTGTCCAAATTCAGCTGGATTTTATCTCCATATTCACTGTCAAGCCTTGTGACTCCTGCAGGCGGCGCTGTAGTTTATTAAAACACATTGTAGCCGTTTCCGGTCCAAAAATCAACAGAATGGCGTCTGGTAGCGGGGTGAGTTTTTTGCGTTGTTTTAATTTTTTGTGTATTTTATTTCACTAGCTACGTGTGTGGTTGAGTCGACTCTGTTTCTGGGTCATTCTTCTGATCAGCGCCGCTAAAAGCTGCAAATGAAGCCGCTTACAAAGAGCCAGAGCGCCGCCGCAACTAATAGCTAGCTAGCTAACAAACAATAAACTAAACGTGATAGTCAACACTTGTCCGCATTTCCAGTCTTTTCTATATTTAATTATAACGTCAAGTTGCTATCGTTTGTACTGCCTTGGTTTTATTTGTTGGGTTCAAGCGAAAATGCCACAAAACGTTCGGCTTGTTAGCGTTATCTCCGCCGGCAGCGTCTCCGATAACAACTTCCGCCCTGCCAAAATAAAACGGAAATGGACACCTCAAAACATAATAAAAGACTACGAACAAAATCAAGAGGAATGTATTATTCTTATGTAAGTAAAATGTATGAATTCATAAATAGGTTAATTAGTAATTACGTTTTACTCTGCTCCAACACTTATTCAAACAGTGACCAATATATAATTTAATGTTATGGTACTTTTGAAACGTCAGAAAATGTAAATGTAACTTAAAAACAAAGATAAGATAACGTGTCATTAAGATTTATTCTATTCTGACGGAAACAGCGCAGTGTTAAATAACCTTGAAACCTCACAGATGACTCTCATCGATCCTCGAGGATGTGTGACCATCATGCTAATGACATTTTTGTTTATTCTAACACTTTTATGTTTTTACTGTTGTGACCTTTATCCCCTCTTTCATCTTCGGCAGATTCACAAAGTGATTATTTTCTCTAAAATGCTTTGAATATTCATCAGTTCGTTTTGAGTCGGAGCGGTTCATCCTCCAGCTTTAGTTGAGCTAAAGTATTCTTCTGTCCACACGGCTCGGCATTAACCAGCTGGAGCTACAAGAGGACACCAGCACCTAGTTAACAAAACACTTCCTCGCTTCCTTTTACTCCGAGATCTAATTAACATTCTCTAAGTGGTGTTTTTGCTGGTCAGAGTCCCTCTAGAATTTGATGGTTGGATTTTCTCTCCAGTCCAGTAAAACCGACTTCCGTCGGAAGTGGGACAAAGACGAGTATGAAAACCTCGCTCAGAAGAGACTGGCAGAGGAGCGGGACCGTGAGAGGAGAGATGGTAAGACCACGACTGCCCTTCATTTCACACAATGTGTTTTTTTTTCCTTAGAAAGTTATTTTATTTAAACATTTGATGAAATGGTGATGGAATCATTAATGAAATCATCCGTTTCAGGAAAAACGGCTCCGCCAGTCAAACGGGACCTGTTGCGCCACCGGGACTACAAGGTGGACTTGGAGTCCAAACTGGGGAAGACCATCGTCATCACCAAGACCACTCCTCAGGCGGAGATGGGCGGGTCAGTTCTGGTCGTTTGAAACTTAACGTGGTCCTGCTGGTCCATCAGCACAGATTTCTAACGCGAGCTTCGTTCTTCATCTGACTCAGATATTACTGCAACGTTTGTGACTGCGTGGTGAAGGACTCCATCAACTTCCTGGATCACATAAACGGCAAAAAACGTGAGTCTGGATACCCGGAAAACACGACAGCAGCCGCGATGCCTCTGCGGGTGCTGACACCTGTGTGTGTGTGTGTGTGTGTGTGTGTGTGTGCGTGCGTTCGTGCGTGCACGTGCTACAGATCAGAGGAACCTCGGCATGTCGATGCGGGTGGAGCGCTCGTCTTTGGATCAGGTGAAGAAACGTTTTGAGGTGAACAGGAAGAAGCTGGAGGAGAAGCAGAAAGAGTACGACTTTGAGGAGCGCCTGAAGGAGCTACGAGAAGAGGTTAGCATAGAGGCCACGCCTCCTGTGGTCATGTGATTTCATTCTAAAATATTATTGGGTGATGGTCTGATTGGATCATTCCTGAGGGTCTGAAGTAGGCTTTAACTGGAAATCGGCTGAATTTTCTCTCTGACCTTTAACCATAACTCAAGGGATGAGCCGGGGTGGGCGGACAAAAACAGATGAGCTAAAATTCACACCTTCATCTAAACGTTCCAGGCCAGGATGAAAAACTGCATCAGGAGAATTTTCAGGTGCTTTTTTACCCGACCATCTTGAAACTTGTTCTGATGGAGTGTGACTCGATGGTGATCCAGTCCAGGTTGGAGGTTCGGTTCTGACCCTTACGGACCACTCCTCTACAATCAGTTTTGGACTAATTTAGATAATTAGACAGGAGAACAGGCCTCTTTCTTGTTTAGACCCAAAGTACTGGTTTGAGCCCGTTTGTTCTGGTTCTGGTATTGTCAGGAGGAGAAGGCCAAGGCTTACAAGAAGGAGAAGCAGAAGGAGCGGAAGCGGCGGGCCGAGGAGGACGTGGACTTTGAGGAGGATGACGAGATGGCGGCAGTGATGGGTTTCTCAGGGTTCGGCTCGTCTAAGAAGAGTCACTGATCTCAGCTGGACTCTGGTTCCCGCAGGGCTCGAGACCAGGAGGAGAACCCTGATTCGAGCTGCGGTTCGGTCCGGTTCAGACTTCCTTTACAAGCTTTTCTTTTTCTCATCAGCCCCTGCCGGTGTCCGTATGAAATGTCTCAGTTGTTCTGCAGCCCTCAGGTTAGACAGGAAGTAGGTGTGAACAGGTGTTTCTCACCTGTGACGCTGACAAACACCAGAAGACCAAAAACTGCAGAAAGTTCCTGTTGGACGAAAGTCTGACTAAGATTTTTGTTTTTCTGTTTGTGAAATAAATTATTTATGCTAGAACGTTTTTTATTTCAGGAGTTTGACGTCAGATTTCTCTTTTGAACGACAGAATCAGAACTCTCTCTGGATCCTCTGTTGGAGCGCGGCATGATGGGAAATGACTTAATGCTTTTATTTCTGTAGGGATTATTAATAAACACCATCTATCAAACGTGCAGAATCAGGTTCTGGTTCTTTGGGCTGAATTGTGTCTGATCTTCGGCGCCTTTAAGGTTCCATTCCGAGTTAGTGGCTGAAACTCTAATCAACAGGAAATAGACGAGGAAGTTTGCTGCACTTCCGGCGTCATCACTGCTGATTAAAGACCAGAAACTGAAGCTGTCTGCTTTCCAGTCCCTCGTCGTTTTCTCGCCAACAACTGCTGCTCCATCTGGAGGCTTTAATGGCAGACTGAGGAGATGAGCTAATAGGAGTTGAAGGTACAAACCAGGTGTTTGCTCCTGAGACACCAAGTCAACTCGGATAAACTAATCACATGTAACTGGTAACCGGTTCTGAGATTAATCTAAAACATCAAACCTCCTCAAACAACTAGCAAGATCCTCATGGAAGCTGAGAAGATCTAGAACCGTTATTTATTCTGGGTTCATGTGAGGCTGCAGAATGCTGCCCCACCCCCATCATCACACCACCTTCCCGCTGTAACCACGGGCTCACGCTGACCTGTAGTCTTTAATAAGCTGTTTCTCGTTCTCCACATGAGTGAAAGATCCGCCAACGTCCAGAGAGAAGCTCTGAACAACCTTCAGAAGTCAGGAGAAATGATCCAGTCCAATTTAGAATACAACTGAAAACTTTGGATCAAAGTTTAAACCAGAAAGATGAAACTCAATCATCTGGACCTCCAGATGTTTCAAACAGGAAGAATCAAGTAACAGATGTTAGATTAAAGCTGGTATGCATGACTGGCTTCAGATTTGCATTCTCACGCCACAGTGGAGACTATCGGCAGCTTTGATTCAGCATGTTTATCTTCATGGCTGCTGGTTCAGAGTCATCAGACTCAGGATCAACCTGGGAGCAAGTCCTGATGTTCTTGTTGCTCCACGAAGGCCTCCAGGTCTGCTGGTGGTTCAGGAAGCTGCTCATATGTTTCAATACAAGAATGGAGATAAAAATAGTTTCTGTGATTGTTGGAGCCAATTACTGCGGAGCGCACTCTCGGAGTGGCTCTACTTAGAGGTTAAAGGTGACCTAATCAAGCGATAGGTGTGTGGCTTTGGAGACAAACAGTTTGCATTGTGGGGTTCCCCAGGGGTCCATTTTAGGGCCGCTTATTTTTAATCTATATATTTTACCTTTGGCAGCTATTTTCAGAAAATTCGGGGTGAATTATTTCTATGCTGACGACTGCCAGCTGTATGTGGCTTAGAGCCCTGCACTGAAGCCCTAGACCCTCGGGTCGGCCCGGCCCGAGGGTCTAGGGCTTCAGGCCAACGACTGTGTAATTACCACGGGCCGGGCGCCTTTATTTTTAATCAAATTCATTTAAAAAATTGAAACACTTAAACGCAGCAGTAGAGCCCTGCGCGGGACTGTTTTCTTCATCCCGCTCCTGCCCGCTCCCGCTGAATTTCTGACCATTACCGCCTGCAACCGCAACGTGTGTGTACATGTCAACCTGCAGCGTACATGTCTACTCCCGCCCGCAACCGCAAAACTCGGAGAAATTATTACCTCACAATAAAAGAGATGTATTGAGTTTGCGTCCTCAACATGTCATTTTATAGTTTATCCGCTTTCACCGCAGCGCTCCGTTTCAATCAGGCTGTACAGCAGGATTTCCCCTCGTAGCGATATTTTGTCTGACTCTGATTGCTTCATGCTATAGATCGTTGGAAAGCTGCTTTTATGTACTTTTAGGAACCGTTGGAATTATTTGAATCTGATCAGCCATTCAAAAGTTAAACAATGGAGCATTTTGGATGACAAACTCGGCATGTCGCTGAATCTGTGTTGTGATTTGTTGCGCTCAAGACGGGGAATCCCATGGATACCATAATGTATTGTATATGCACGAAAAGCCCCATTTTTAATCTTTTCAGCACTTTTGGAATTTTAATGATATCTTGAACTAGAGCAGGGATCGGCAACCCGCGGCTCTTCCATCCATCTGATGCGGCTCTCTGTGCTTGTAAAATAATGAATGGATATTCAAATAAAATGCTTTATATTTTACTGAATTGATTTTATATCTGTAAGTCAATTCTATGTGAGGATTGTCTGCGTAAACCTGAACAGTTCCAACCCGGTCTTACTGTGAGACGGGTCGGGTCACACTTGTGCGTAATCATATGCGCTTTCTGAGCTGAAGAGGATGTGAGATTCTGGGCTTCTCCTCAGACGGCTCCTGGATGCGTCACACATTGGAGACAGGAACAAGCGCTATTCAGCCAAAGTTTCATAATCAGGGAACATTTTCTAAGTGACAAGTCTCTCTGAGTGACAGGGTTTGGAAAACACTCGCTTCAGTGGGAGGAAGCTTCCCGCATGCGCTCTGGTTCTGCGACGCGCTCCAAGCCAATCTCCCCAACTTCAGCTTGCTGTGCACATATGCGCTGAGAGCGAGCTGTGCTGAGCAGAGCCCAGCTCAGATGTTCAGATGGGAATCTTTACTTGGGTGATTTAGTTACATCTGCAATGTGCATAACGAATAAGATGTCAGATCGTCTGCATGCGTCGGGGTAATTTTTTTCTATTCTTTCTCCGTCAAAATTAACGGTCAAATACGGGAACTATCCAGTCAACACAAGCCCTGCTCTTGGCTGTTTTGTTTTCTTGTGAAAATTGTTGGAAAGAGATCAAATTTAACTTGATTACCACCAGAGCCAGTGCGCCATCATCTCCGTGACGGTAAATGAGGGAAGAACAAATTGATCGGATCCTGCACGTCTTTTAACACATTGGTCAGGATTGACGCACTTCGTTTTCATTTAGTTGGTTAAAAAAAGTCGGGCTGGGCCAGAGAATCCTGAAAACCTTTTCGGGCCGGGTCGGGCTGGGGCGCCACCCCCTCAGGCCGGGCCAGACATGGGCTCAGATTTTAGGCCCGTGCAGGGCTCTAATGTGGCTCTTAAAGTATGGAGCTAGGATTGGGACAATATTCAATGTAACTTGTACCAAGTTTTGTAACTTGGAACATGTTTCATGACATGGTTCGTAACTTGTAACTTTAGTTTTCTAACTTGTAATTCTCAATTTGTACTTGTATTTCTTGTTTTGTAACAGGAACATTGTATTTTGTACATGTATTTTTTTATTTTGTAAAATCAAACTTTTATTTTGTACATTTACTACTCAGTTTGTAACATCAAACATTCATTCAGAAACATGAAACTTTCGGTTTTTACCTAGCAGACTTCCAAAATAAAAAAATCAATGTACATGTTTGAAATCAAAACTCTCAAAACACACATTTCATTCTACAGGTACAAACCTCAAATCTACAGTGTTACAGATCATTTTGTCTCAATTCTAGCGTCGGTGGGAGGAACGTGGCTACCAATCACGTTTCTCGAATTCCTGTCCAATCATTGGGAGAGGAGGGCAGGGTTCTGTCAGAGCTGTAGAGAGTTACGACACTCTTTGAACTCACCGACTCGTGGTCACGTGGTTCATGGAGCTCTCAGTTCCAAACATTCCAGCGCCAGTCATTTTGAATGGCGTGTGGTGGGACAAATACAGAAAAATTAATATAATCACATTTCCCCTGGCGATTTGTGGTAATTATTGAATGATATTATATATTATATCCTAACTCCTTCACAAAGTAGCCTATTTATATTTTTCTGAGCATTTGTAGGAAGACAAACACCCATAACTGTTCTACAGGAATACGACAGTCCTAACACACTGTAGCACACATTTAGACCACATACATTACTATAATATACTATAGCAATAAATTTGATGTAGTAATGCAACACACTGCTCTAATATGATCTATTATGTTCAGTAGAATACATTTTACAATCATTACTTTATGTTTTTATGTGAAGACAGTACATGCATCTATAACCCAGTTTATCTGGTTTCTATAGCAACTAATTAAAAAGAAAAGTTCAGTAAAACTGTATGGTTCATCACAGTAGATAAAAAAAGTGTTATTTGTGAAAAAATGAACACCAAACTTGTACAACATGTATAATAGCATTTTTAATAAAGCATTTTACCAACAATATGTTTAGTCATCACATATGCACAAATAAGCTGAATCATTAATTATGAGCAATGTACTCAAGACCTAATGAAACTCTTTTGAATAATTTTATTTTGATTATTATTAAAATAAAATGTGTCCGTGGGTTAAAATTTGAAATTACTAATTTTAGGGTTGGATAAAATTTTGAAATGTAATTTTACATCTCTATGTTTTTGGTTTCTATATGTACAAAAACTGTATTTTAATAATCCCTTTATAGGTTGATTATCTTACCGTAGTTGGCTGCGCTGCATATAGCAATCGGTCTGAGGGAGGAATCAGAATTATGGCTTCCCCAAAGATGCAGAGAGAAGAAGAAAATGGTTGTCTCAAGTCAGCAGGAGCAACCTCACCATGACCAGAGATCACAATAACAAAAAGCTGTGTGCAGTGAGTTTAACGTGCCCTCTCAAATGTTTTCTATCAAGGCTCTACACGTTCTGCTCTCAGCTGCACAAGGCTGCAACTAAACTGTTAAATGTGGCAGGAAATAAACTAATACACCACTCTACAGGCACATTGTGAGGAGGGACCGTTTACTAAGCTTAGGCAAGGCAAGGTGAGACTCAGGGCTGATGCTGTGTTTGTTCATCGCCCTGAACCAAGGAGGAGGAAGGACCCCGCAGTGAGAAGTACAGCAGAACCACTGCATGTTGATCCACTGACCAGTGACCACACGTTGTACTCAAGTAAACTGTGGTACAAATCTTTTGAAATATTAAGACATTTTTATTTATTTTATTTTAAAATGATTCTTTATTCTAACAGTGCCATTATAATTTCAGAGAATGAGGAAAGCAGCAGCAGCAGTGAGGCAAATGAGATGAGGGAAAGTTAGGGGGGGCATGAGATGGTATCAGGAGAGAGGGACATCCCAGGAGGCCATGAGGAGCCGGCGTCAGGGCCAGGAGGACAAAGGAACAGGCGATGCAACCAGGGAACCCAGCTGGAAAACCTAA